ATAATGTTCTGAACAATATGCAACCTTTTATTTTTTGCTAAACGTCCCCATTAAGGAGTTGAAGGGTTGGCCCCTAAATATTTCTTTTGCTAATAGCTCAAAAACGAAAAAAAAAAAATTCTGAATAGTTGTTGAACAAAAAATGTTCAAAATCTTAAGAGCTTTAAGACGAGATCCCGAAAAAGGGGCTGGGCACTCCAATTAGGGGCCAAAAGGGGCCAAAAGTCTTCAATCGATAACTCTTTATCAGTTAATATTTTGTAATACATTACTGAAGCAAAGACGTTTATCTCAACCATCTACAACTATATATTATGGTTTTTAAGTCGTATAGTACATAATTAGGGGCCACAAGGGGCCAGAATGCTCAATCTTTGATACCTTATATCTCGAAAGGGAGAAATATTTTGATAAGCAATATTGAACAAAAGATGTTCAAAATAATGTTCTGAACAATATGCAACCTTTCATTTTTTGCTAAACGTCCCAATTAAGGAGTTGAAGGGTTGGCCCCTAAATATTTCTTTTGCTAATAGCTCAAAAACGAAAAAGAATTTCTGAATAGTTGTTGAACACAAAATGTTCAAAATCTAAAGATCTCTAGGATGAGATCCCGAAAAAGGGGCTGGGCACTCGAATTAGGGGCCAAGAGGGGCCAAAAGTCTTCAATCGATAGCTCTTTATCAGTTAATATTTTGTAATACATTACTGAAGCAAAGATGTTTATCTCAATCATCTACAACTATATATTATGATTTTCATGTCATATTGTACAAAATTAGGGGCCACAAGGGGCCAGAATGCTAAATCTTTGATGCTTATATCTCGAAAGGGAGAAATATTTTGATAAGCAATATTGAACAAAAGATGTTCAAAATAATGTTCTGAACAATATGCAACCTTTCATTTTTTACTAAACGTCTCCATTAAGGAGTTAAAGGGTTGGCCCCTAAATATTTCTTTTGCTAATAGCTCAAAAATGCAAAAGAATTTCTGAACAGTTGTTGAACACAAAATGTTCAAAATCTTAAGAGCTTTAAGATGAGATCTCGAAAAAAGGGGCTGGACTCTCAAATTAGGGGCCAAAAGGGGCCAAAAATCTTCAATCGATAACTCTTTATCAGTTAATATTTTGTAATACATTATTGAAGCAAAGATGTTTATCTCGACAATCTACAACTATATATTATTGTTGTTATGTTTTATGCTACATAATTACGGCCCACAAGGGGCCAGAATGCTAAATCTTTGACGCTTTATATCTCGAAAGGGAGAAATATTTTGATAAGCAATATTGAACAAAAGATGTTCAAAATAATGTTCTGAACAATATGCAACCTTTCATTTTTTGCTAAACGTCCCCATTAAGGAGTTGAAGGGTTGGCCCCTAAATATTTCTTTTGCTAATAGTTTAAAAACGAAAAAGAATTTCTGAACAGTTGTTGAACACAAAATGTTCAAAATCTTAAGAGCTTTAAAATGAGATCCTGAAAAAGGGGCTGGGCACTGAAAAAAGGGGCCAAGAGGGGCCAAAAATCTTCGCAGGTTTGTTAAGGCAGCACATGGATCAGAATTCGGCGAATTAACACTTTTTTATAATTATGTAACACTAATAAATCGGAAAAGTCAAGGATAAAGCTTTTACTATAATTATGCATTCTATAGACTTCAATGGGACTTATACTACAGGAGGCACTTCACCACGACGTCACCACGTGACGTCTATAATTAGAAAATATGCCTTAATGAAAAAGTGAAAAGTTTAACACTACCCCGGGGATAATTAGTTCCAATTTATATTAATAGTTATGTAAAAACATCTCTGTACCATTAAATGTGCTGCTAGAATCCTACTGTTCTCTTAAAGAAATAATTATTCAACAATTTCGCACGAAACCTTCCCAAAATTTTTACATTTTGTTCATAACATCGAAAAAAATGTATAAATTCCCGTAAACCATACGATTCTAGCAGCACTTTCCAAAAACAAAAGAATAAGAACTTAAGATAGAAACAAAATTTAAGTTTCAAGGTATGCGGCGTAGTGTTGAACTTTTAAAATCTTTTTTGTTACAAACGACAGAGGAAAGGCTGATCGGCAAGTAAACACCCTCCCTGCTTTAATTTTACAAAGAAATTGCAGAATCATATTACCATACCTTATTCATACGCTTTATTCCCACAAGAATCACACATGATATTCATTCTAAATGCTTTTAAACTCCGATTTCTTGTGTTTGTTTACATCAATTCTCGTTACTTTTCACTTTCACTCTGCTACTGCATGATCAACAGTTATGACGTCACGGGTTTGGTATGTAACCCCTGTGATAACTACAGAGGCCCAGGAACGACAAAATTCCGTTGATATTATTCCTCTGCATATTTTGGTTCATTTTTACGACCTCAAATCAATCTAAGATATCGATTTTAAGAAATCGTTATCTCTAAATCTCACGACATATAGCTTTTTATGACGTCATATCATATAGGCAAGTAGAATATTTTATTGTAACCTTAACCTACCTGCGTTCAATCGATAACTCTTTAGCAGTTAGTATTTTGTAATACATTACTGAAGCAAAGATATTTATCTCAACCATCTACAACTATGTATTATTGTTTTTATGTTTCATGTACATAATTAGAGGCCACAAGGGGCCAGAATGCTAAATCTTTGACGCTTTATATCTAATAAGGGAGAAATATTTTGATAAGTATTACTGAACAAAAGATGTTCAAAATAATGTTCTGAACAATATGCAACCTTTCATTTTTTTGTTAAACGTCCCCATTAAGGAGTTGAATGGTCGGCCCCTAATTATTTCTTTTGCTAATAGCTCAAAAACGAAAAAGAATTTCTGAATAGTTGTTGAACAAAAAATGTTCAAAATCTTAAGAGCTTAAAAATGATATGGTTAAAAAGGGCCGATTCCTAAAATTAAGGGCCGTTAGGGGCCAAAAGCCGATTTTTTAAGTCTTTAATGTCCAATGTCTTTTTCAGATTGTGGAAAATCATTATTTTAGAATGAAAATCTCAATCAAAATCTTATCTCATCTCATCAAGAATTGGACGGAAGACCCACTCGTTGCTCGCAACGAGATCGTATCTAGTTCTTTTTTTTTTCTTTTCCTAGACGCCAACTTTGAGGCCTCATATCTCACTCATTTCTCAACGGATTTTGCTCAAATTTTCAGACGTTATAGACATTATTAAACTCTATCAGAATGTTGTCTAACATTTAAAAAAATTACTTCCGCTTTTGAGTTATTCCCCTTTAAACGGAAATTTATAGGCTTTCATTTCCAGACAAAGGCTCAGAAACCACAAAAGCTGGAGCAGAAATTCTACTGATTTTAGATAACAGAAGGATTGAAGTTGTGCATGCCGGTTTTTGTTTTTCGATTTCTGTATTCAAAATGGCGTCATATAGGGGTCAAAAATTAGAACACCAAAAAGAGCGAAAATTTACACATATTTTCCATTTTATCTTCTATATTAAAAATATTTTTTTAAAAACATATAGAACAAAATTTGTGCAGAATTACAAGATCTTTCAATTGATATATCGGAAAAAGGACTGACCCCTAAATTAGGGGATCTAGAGGGGCCGAATGTTTTTTCCAGACATCTCAAAAAGTATTGCGAATTTGTCATACATCAAAGAAGCAAAGTTGTTCAAAATCTCTAGCAGAGTCTATTGAGATCATCAAGAAACGTCCTGTGACGTCACTTCCGGCCAAACCGGAAGTAGTCAGAAAATGCATATTTTTGCCGTTCTTGACACGTTTTTGGGAAATATTTGTCACTGGAAGCATAAAACTTAATTTTCCGTCCGTCGACGTCACTTCCGGTCGAACAGGAAGTAGCAAAAAATGGCTTACTTTTGCAATTTTCAACATAGATTTGGATTTAAATCATTAGAGACGTCATTTCTCTATTTTTAAAAATAAAAGTTACTTCCGGTCAAACAGGACGGAAGACCTACTCGTTGCTTTGCAACGAGCTCGGCTCTAGTTTCTTCTCTGTCCGTTTCTTCCTCTACCATCCCTGTCTTTGGTATACCTTGCCTATTCTTTGATAGTGTTCTCAATGTCTTTACAGGTATGTAGAATCTCCAGTAGCTCTGTTTTTTTCCGAACACTTAGAGCTCTAAAATTATAGTAGCTGGAACTTGAATACATTTGTTTCTTTTTCAGTAAAGATATGTGTATACTATTCAAAGTAAAATACATTTACAGAAAATTTGTCGACACAATGAACAAATTTTAAATGAAAACATCCAGTTTATGTTTTAGTACTGAATAAATTATGTTTTTACTTCAACATTTTCAACGTTTAATCCTGTGCTCGACAGTGCTGACCCTACAGCACCTGGCTTCTGCACTTCCCCGTGTCTTATTACACAGATTTGCACATGACATCGTTAAAACTAAACGTTAATTAAGCTGTGTCAAAGCAAACATAATATAAATACTTACAAACTGGATGCAAATATGCAAGGTATCGGCCATGATTGCGCTTGATCGTGTCATATAAAAAAGTCGCAGATATTACATGTAGTTCGCATGTTGTCTACCCATGATGCTAAGTCAGATTCTTGGTATTGGATCAACTTAAGGCCGATGCCAACCCCCAACAAATATTCTCTCTCATTACAACAGTTTTATAATAAAACGCCTAACCATGGCCCCATAATACATAACGAACTATCAATATTTCATGTTGAACCACTGTTGGCCCAATAAAGGTAACCCAACTGCGATAATTCAACCATAATGTAAGATTGGTCCAATGATGCATTAAAACTATACATTGTTACAGGTTGGTGTGCATTTATATAGAATAGCGGGTTCGAAATTTTGATCGGTAAATAAACAATAAATATGAAATGATTTCAGTCGACCATTCTCGTAATGAAACATAATTATGGAGATTAATAATTAACCTTTTAACACTCTGTATTTCGGCTATTAAAAAATCCGGGTGGTGTAATGGAGGATACTAATGGAGCATAGCGAACATTATTTTATACACACGTCACCTACCCCAGACAATATATCAGGTGCTACAGGAGTTACGAAACAGGATTAAATACAGCCCTCTCCTTACAAGTACGTATATTTTTTTAATCTTACTATAATATATTTAAAGTTAACGTCATTTCAATAAGAAATAATATATAACCTATAAATAATACATCGAGAGTTCAAAAACAAGTTGTTACAACTTATATTAAGTTCCTTTCCCTTATAATAACTAACTTTTACTATATTTTAAAGAAGCATAACCATTTGTAATTATTCAGTTTCAAAGAGTGGTATTTTCGAAATAACATGTCACCTCTACTAATATTGTTCGGAACCTTTTATTTTTCGGTGCTCTGCACATTATAAAACCCGATGAGTTCAGAGTAGCTCTGACAGTGGCTCTGGCGAGAGCTAGCGAGACTTCGGCGATTGATAAATTCCTTTATTGTACTGTCGGTGAATACAATTGTCAGGTGGATTCCCTGGCCAACACACGTGATCACGAGTATAGTTATGTAAAAAATGTTTGTCCATTTAAATGCATACGAGATGCTGCTCGTTTTCCTTATCTTTGAAATGCTGGTATTCTGAACTTGATACGAACTGCGTATACGTTTTATTAAACATATTTTTCTCTAGTTAACAACAAATTAAAAACGCCCCTGATATTTTTAATAGTTTCTAATGTTTGCATTTTGTTCATAAGATTTTTTTTTATTTTGCATTCCACTGACATGATCATAGATTGACCTGAACCACGTGTTTAATTTTTTTTAATTGCCATTGCGTTCATTGGAATTCGTTGGAAAAAGATTTGCACAATTTTTTCCATGCTTTACACGCATACACGACCTCGATCTATTTATAGACTGCATTGTTCTTCGTCGTTCTCGACGAAAATTTATATCATAGAATATTCAGCTTCTAGATGGGATATCAGTTTTTTGATACCATTTCTTGTGTTCTAATAGAAGTATATTCATTAATCATGTATTTGGCGTAAACGTATTCAATCAACATTTACATTGGTCAGTTGTGGAAATCGATAGTGAGAGAAAGATTAATAATCCCCATGATTAAGGAGAGAGGGGGAATGGATTGAGCGCAGTTTTTTAATAATAGCTATGATGGTAGACATCATCAAAGACATTTTGTGTACATATATACGTACTGCATGTATAAACATATTTTGAAGTGGCGTTCATTACTTTTTTAAAAGCAATATATAACACTAAAATATGCTCAAACTTAGAAATTAAATTAAATAATAAGTTCCCCTTATAATAATGAATTGCCTCGAAATGCACACACTGTTAGGTTTTTTTTTAGTGTAGATCGATCTGATATTACACATTTACCGCGTATAAAATCGCGTGAAGAAAATTTATTGGAGATCAGTGAGCTGTAAAAAAAATTTTTGCATTATTTAAGTATAAGATGCATTTATTATTAATTGATAGATCAAATCATTAGCTTTTTTAAAAAAGCTAACCTTGTCATGTATTTGGCGTAAACGTATTCAATCAACAATTGGTCAGTTGCTCGTGGTAAGATCCTCTGAGCGCATTAATAGCAATAGCCATATAAGGCAAACAAAGGTTTTTTTTTAGTGTAGATCGATGATATTACACTTTTTTTTTACCAGCGTATCAGTCGCTAGTGAGCTGTAATTTTTGCAGTTAAGTATAAGATGTATTAATTGTTATTTACCCCCCCCCCCCAACTTAATCCACCCATTTCTGTTGAGAATCAGTCTTTCAGAAAGGTGTGGAAACACACATTTTTCACAGGACATGTTTCAGAAGAAACAGACTATAGCAATTTCCTGTTTACTGCCAATTTTATTTATAAAACCGGATCTACCTTATATAAAACCGGATCTACCCCATAACCTTTGAATAGGTAAACCTAAACTACGTGTCTTGAATTTAAATCACAATAACATTAGTAGGGGTGATGTGATAATTCTTAAATTGAGAATTATTTTTTTTATATAATATGAACGACCATCCTTATCTGCATTGTTTAAATTTATTTTCAATAAGGCCATAAGTGCCGGGTACATGTCAAAATTTCAAGTCTTCCAACTGCAGCAACCAATATCGAAATATTTATTTTTCAGACACCTTCAAGAAAATTTCAGTAAATTGAATAATATATTTTTCATTTAAATAATGAAATGTAAGGGTTTTGAAATATTTTTAAAGATATTTGAAGCAAAGAAACATTTATCTCTGTGTTACCAGGGTATTTTTGAACTGATTTTATCGCAAATCTCGCTTGAAAGTATTACACTTCGGCCGAAATAGCGTCATCTTGAGTGATGACACTCTCGGATTTGACAACTGAACAATTTGAATCACGGATTTCATTTTATAAATTTATAAAACAAGCGTTTTAATAGGTTGATTAGGACCCGCCCACTCTCGTGCGGTATTCTTTGCCTGTATAAGTTGGAGAGCGTCCAAGGGCCTAGCGAATGGCCATGTTTGATTGTCGGAAAGCGTTGTTGACTTTCTGAAGAAAAAAAACACAAAAAGCAAACAAAATATAAAATAATTTTTAGGATGTGATTTATACGTTACGAAGACGGTACATGAATATCATTCGATGGCGCACAGTATTTCATTTTACCCTACATGTATCTCTGCCGATTTACGGCATTTTACATTTTATAGGTGTTTGTTCTGTGCGACTTTTCAGTGCATTAAAAATCTTTTGTTCTCCATGTTTTAGTCACAAGTGAGCTATTTCTGATTGACAATATCTACGTGGTTTTTGGAGACCAGGTATTCCAACAATCTATTGGAATTCCCATGGGTACCAATTGCGCTCCGTTATTAGCGGACCTATTTTTATATTCATATGAAGCAGAATTTGTGCAAAATCTTATGCGTGAACAGAAGAAAACACTTGCTGTGGCCTTTAAATTAAAAATTAAGGAAAAAAGTAAAGATCTTCACAGGGAGAAGTTTGTCCATGGCACCTGATCCCACCTTTGATGTTTCCGGGGTCTGTGTTTGCTCTGCTCTTATTTTGTATTGTTTCATGGACTTTGAAATTGAATACTGTTCGTTATCTCCATATTCTTCTTCATTGCAAATACAAACAAATTTACAACGGGGGTAATACTGTAAATTATGCGATTACCCAGCTGATAACGGACCACTTGTTATTCAGTGAAAAAATATAAATTCATAGGTGGTAAAAGACGAAAAACATAGGATTTATTCAAAAGTTTACTGTTTTATTGTCACGACTGTCAAAAATACCATATTATGTGTGCTACTACATACCCATTTCAACCGTCGTCATGGCAATAAACATGCCGACCATAAAAATATAAATCCTTGTGCTTTTTTTAAGGCAGTGCAATTTTTACTGTAACGGCGAATGTTATTCAAATTAAGAAATATCACTTATAATTCATGTTAAAAATAAATAATGTAACAACATTTACCAAATCTAAGTACGTTTAATTTTATTGATGAACTGAAGAAAAAACGAGACATGTGGCCCGAGGAACATGCATTTGATACGAACATGACATGTATTCAGTCAACTGCTGCCAGTTGTGGAGCATCTTATTTGAAGATCATTATACAGATAATACCCACACTCACAATAATTTACTATGGTATTGCGTAGGTCTACTAAATACTTAGTGCAATTAGTACCACTTTTTTGCCCGTTTTCTACAGCTGTTCTACTTTCTTGGAAACATTCCATATCTTCGGCTTCACATTTGAGAAAGTGGGCGGGCCTATAAAAAAAGCACCAATCAGATTCTTTGTTGGATTTTGCAATTGAAGATCAGTAAGATTCAATTGAATTTCAGTCAGATTCATCAGTGTCGTCACTTAACACATCACAATATCGGTCAAGGTGTATACTTTCGAGAAAGATTTGCGATAATACTATTAATTACAGCATGGGATGTCCAAAAAGATTTACCGTTTCCTTCCTGGCTTTTCTGGGTTTTCTGATTCTGTTTGGCTTTAGGACTGTTATCACCATTATAATGATCTACGTCATTAAAGACAACGACAATAACAGGGCAACAATATATAAAGAGGTGAGCTATTTTTCACCATATATCATCACTCTATAATTCACAATTACACAGACATTTTGATATCCTTCTGCTAACAATTGGTAATACACTTTTGTCTCAAAATTCCATTTTGCAATTTTAAATAGGACAAGAAAACAAAACTTTGTGTTAATATCAAAAGGAAAAAATTATATAGTTTCGACTTTGAAACTGATTTTAATTTGAGTATATTTTAGTGCACCATCAATGGTACAGTGTTTGACCTCCATTTAGACTGGAGTGTGGCCACTTCTCAGTATTTTAACACGGCCTATTTTGTGGGGCATTTCATCTCCCAGCTGCCGGGAGGAATCCTAGCTGCCCGGTTCTCTCCAACAAAGTGAGTCAACTCTCTGCCACCACTGGTTTGTTCATGTTAAAGTCATCCTGAAAAAATCTTATCGGACGTAAAAATTTGCAGTCTTAAATGATGTTATGTACATCCATATTAAATTCTTATCCAGAGTGAATATTTGCTACAATTAACTGATTCTCCGCTTGTTTTGTTTTTCAACTGAATCATTGCAAACTGGAATTATCACATAGTACGAGTTCACTTTCCAAATTATATTTTATAACATAATAGTAGTAATTGCATCATGTGCGTAGTTGTTTTGACCTATCAAAGTATTTGCACAAAGGTTAAACTTATTATATCAATCCTAAATCAAAAAATAAACATCTGAGACACACAGTTTGTTCCAACGGTTTATTTATCTCTAATTTTTTATTATTTGATAAGGTTGTTAATATTAGATATGCATGCTTAATTAATTCACAGACATTCTCTCTAAATATTGCGATATTTCCTGACGTTCAGTAGTGACAATTCTGACAAATGTGTTTAAATACTCTTTATCTTTTTGAATTATCATTCAACCCACAAATATAATCAATTTTATTTCATTGTTCTTTTCTTGAATAAACAGACAGGGGACTATTTCAGCAGAAAAAAATCTCATATCGTATATGTTTTTATTAAATACGTGTAAATGTTTCTGCTAATATCCAAACTCGAAAATGGATACATATATTTTTAAATGTTTTCGGATATATCATAAAAGAATCATGTATTCATATATTATATTGTTTTACACGGAAGTTTTTTCTGCTTATAGATTGTTCGGTGGAGTGGTATTTATCAGCGGAGGGTGTTTCTGGGTTTTAGCATTTTTAATGAAGTATAGTCCAGTAGTGGTGTTTGTAACTAGATTTATACAAGGCCTTGTAGAGGTATTTATTGTCTATAAATGAACAAATTAAAATAATTATTCATAAAAACATCTACGAATAAAAAGACATCAAAAACTCAATGTATGAATACCTGTATATATGCGATTATTATATTTTAAGGGTGTAAGTCAGCCTGCCATGAGTTCTGTGATTTCTGCTTGGGCTCCAAAATCAGAACGAACAAGAATTGTGGGATTCTCTTTCTCAGGTATAATTTTCCCCAGTAAAATTAAAGTTTTGACATTTAAAGTAAACATAAATGATTCATTTTATGAAGCGAAAACCTCCTTATAGGTATCTATCTGAGCACCACAGTGGCATCTGTAATTACCGGGGCGACCACGTGTTACGTCAGCTGGAATTCCGGATTCCTCATTTACGGTAATAATGTCTTACACTGTAAGACAATGAAATCCACCTGCTGTAAGTTACAGCAGGTGGATTTCATTATCATTTTACGACATTTATGTCCATGTAAAGATCAGAGTTCTATATTAGGACACAAAATAAATTTGATATTCTTTGTTTTATATTAGTATAATTATTATGGCTTACGCATTGGACACATCTCCATATGTTTCATGAAATATTTGAGGTTTATTATCATTTCTACATTCAAAAGCAGTAAAGTCCATGTAAATTTCAAATTGCTTTCTGAGGCCCATGAGAGTAAATAATTTTCAGAAAATACATTAATGATCGAAAGCAAAAGCTTGTCTGTAATTGGTCTAGATGAATAATTCGGTCTAGATGAATCTTTACACAATTAATTTCTCAAGGTTTCATATTAAGTCTCTTGATTGTAAGTTACATGTAAATATTGCACATCACATCAGAATTTATAAGGCTTTTTCGATTTTAATTCTTTATATAATTTTCACGTAATTCAGAGACCACTCTGCATTTACCTTCTGTGTTTAGATAACCACTTTCGTATTAAATCATCAAGATAGTTGATTTTAAGAATCATGGAATCTCTCCATAATTTCTTCATATTCATTTGGATTGCATGACTTTTAAGTTATTTTTCATAAAATATATCCAAAAAAATATCTTGAACTTGCTATCTAGAAATCTCACTTTCCATATCCATAATATCACTAACAGACCTTATACATGTATCTTACTTAAAACTTTTCAAAAATTGAAGAACATAAAACAGTGATTGTTTCAGAATAGCTTTGAGAGTACAATATAATGATACTTGCTTATAGAAAGATAACCATTTAAAAAATAGCTGATACTCTCTCACTTAACAAAATAAACATCGTGTTTACATGTCTCAGGCTGTAGATTTTTGAGAGATAGTTATTGGCCGTACTGACCACATTTAATTCTTTCACTCACAAAATACACAATTTCATGAGGCTTATACTTCTTATATAAACAATCAATCTAATTCTTTGACCTGTCTTATGCGTATGCTTGCTCAGTTTTGCGTGTAAAAAGCATGATTAGTACTCAGTTTTCTTACTTGTGCAAATGGATGAACAGTTTTGTCTGTTTAACGTCCCATTGAGTATTTTTCACTTATATTGAGAAGCCACCACTTGCCGGTGGAGAGCTGCGAATTTACACATAAGGCCTTTGCACAGGGAAGGATCTTGTTTTGCTCCAACCTTGGTTACCTGACCAACCAGACGGCAAGCAGACGATGGGATGGACAGATAATTTTGCTGAATTAACAAAGTATATATCATTTGTGTTACAGGTAGTTTAGGCATTGTGTGGTCACTGTTTTGGCTCTGTACGATTTACGACAGTCCAACACTTCATCCCTCTCTGGAAGAGAAAGAGAGTCGCATTTTCGAGGAAGAAGGTTCTCATGTTCAAATTGCATCTGCAGCTGTGGTGAGATTTCCATAATTTAATGCAAATAATTTACTTCTTTTAAAACATTTCAAAAATATTTATATAAACAATCGTCTTTAATACAGGCTAGAAACGTTCCTTGGAAACGAATTTTTTCATCCCCTTCTGTGTGGGTATTATTCCTCCTTAATTTCACACGAGCTTGGATTGTTGCCACGATGATGACCGAAATACCTCAGTATTTTGCTGATGTCTTTAGACTCAATGTGGCATCGGTAAAAAAAACTTTATTATACGATGATTATATATACATGTATACATATTTTTTATTTAATTTTAAATCCCTTTATTATTTTAATTTTAAATACGAATACGGCAAAAATTAACTGTTGATTCCAAATTCCAACTTTTCTTCTTTTAAGATTGGATTCCTGACAGCATTTCCTCCAGTTCTGATGACTATTTCTATCATATTTAGTGGAATCTTTTTTGATAAATTAATCAAAACAGAAAAAGTATCAGTCACATTTGGCCGAAAATTGGCAATTTCAATCGGTAGGTAGGGAATGCCACTATATGCATTTTATTAATTTTAGACATACGTGTCCTATATTCTCTTCTCATGTATTCATTTATTTCAGAAATAATCGGATTAAATTTCATTTTTCAGGGTTTGGGTCTGAGGCTGTCGCTGTCTTGGTCTTGGGTTTTGTCAGAAGTTATTCAGTAGCGTGTGTCCTGTTAATTATAGGAGAAGGAATGGCGGGAATAGCAACTCCAAGTAATAGTTAACTGATTGGTAATATAGTGCCGAAACATTCTTATTAGTCAATTTACCTTCTAACAATATCGTATTGATACTTAGGTTATAAAGCAAATCCAGTAGACCTGGCACCCCAATATTCCAGTGTTCTGATGGGGTTAGTGAGACTGGGTTTGTTTGGTGCCATCACAAGTACGGCGTTGGCCGGAGCCCTCAGACGAAAGGTACAGTGAATAACCGTTTGGCTTTATTTCCAATATCATCCTTTCTGCTAATTTGTTAAAAAAGAGGACATAATATCGAAAATTTCTCTTGTCTAATAATATCGCATTCTCTCTTCTGTTACAGATTTAAAGATATAATTACTAATCTGTTTTTAATTGAAGTTTTTCGTCGTCTCATGTTCAGCTTCTTTTCTAAAACCCCTGAACTAATTCAACCAATTTTGGTGTAGAGCATATATAGGAAGAACGGAGCAAAATTGGTAAAATTATGGGCTCCAAGTCTCCTCTCAAAGCATCTGAGGAGTTGGGAATAAAATTATCAAAGTTCTTGCAATTTTCAGATTTTTTTTAAATCAACCAAACGGTTAGCGTGATTATAAAAAAACCCAGTAAGTCCTTTACCAAAATCATTAATTTCCTGACCCCAGGGTCAAAGGTTCTAGGGTAAAGGTTCTATTAAACATAAATTTGAATTGTCTTCTTCTCTCACTCTGTATTCAATCTAAACTGAATTGAATTTATTAATCTCTTTACAATTTTACAATTGTATACCGAGATATACATGTAAACAACAATGATGACAACTGAAAACACATTTATAGCATGCGGATAGACAAATAGTACAATTATAAGTATAGATCAGACAGACTAAATGCATAGTTATAAGGAGCACCGGTTGTCTCCTCTAAAACTGTGAAATTAATGATCCTTGGGTATAGGTACCAGGTATCTTTTATGAGGGCGGGGTTCTCTTCATTATATGGTGAAAAATACATTTATCATTTGAACATCTCTTCCTGTATTCCCGGTCTCAATGGAGGAAAACAAAAATGTGTGAACCACATATGCACATTTCATATAAAATAGAAGTTGAAATAAGCTGTTTTAAGTTAATATATGTATATATTTTTCCTTTAAGAATGCGGAGTCTTGGAAGCATATATTAGTAATTACAGGATCCATGCATTTGTTTGCGGTCATATGTTTTGCTGTGTTTGGATCTGGAAGAGAACAAGAATGGGCCAACTCAGGGTATAATGAAATCAAAATTCCAGAAGAAGAAAACATAAGCCCTTACGGATCTACCTCTGAAACCCAACAGTTTAAAACAGATGTGATTGGAATAAATTACAGTAAAGATAGCAACTCTCAAAATGACAGTGTACATTTTAATTATTCTGAACAATTACAGTCAACAATAAAAGAATGAATGGAAACTTTTGTATGTTTTTATTACTGTAGTATTTGTCAACTAATACAGTGTTTTGCAGCATTATAAGTTTAAATTGAATATGACTAAATGAAATGTCAGTCAATTTGAACTAATTATGCTTCTGTTTTTCATTACATTTTTTAGTGATTGATTTCCGGTATTCTAACATTTCTGATAATGTGTTAATATTGTCTAGTAGCTTTTTATTGTCAATCAGCTCCCCATAATAAAAAAGACATATCCCGACTTAAAAAGTAAAAGTACAATCTAAAACAAATCGAACAACATATACAAGCAAATTAAGAACACATTTCCATTTAAAAAAAATTAATATTAAAATGAAACAAGACGAGCACAGGAAAACGCTTTTTAACAGTTATAACCAAATAATAAATCTTATTTAGTGAGCTCAATAAAAAATAGGGAATATAGTAAAATTCCCTCTCTCTTTCTCTCTCTCTCTCTTTACTTTTCTAATAAAAAGTTGTCAAGGAAAATTAGGCAACATAATGTCTAAAGGATCTGAATTTTGGTGCGCATATTGTCAATTTTCACTGATCAGACGTGAGCAGAAAATTCTTATTAGGATGGGCATCTTTTGCACACACTGCGTACCGAATGAAACAAAAAAGGAAAAAAAGCTATTAAATAAATTGTACAGACACTATTATTATAGGAACGATTTTCTTTTTGAAATTTACATCTTAACATTTTTTTTCTCTCGAAATGTTAATGTTTATTAATATCAAACCCAACCAGCTACCGTATGCTTTTCGAAGTTGCATGTTAATATTATTTCTTTTAGATGTCATGTACTTTTATAATTAATATGAAATAGACCAATTTAAAGTGAGATACAGAGGATCATTGATAATCTAAATAAAATATTCGGCACACATCCTATATCTTTTGTTCAATATCCGGATGCCTTACTCTGTACCAGAGGACTGTGTGCTACTGCCTACACACGGCACAACATGGAGTCCTTCAATGTACTGTGTATACATTTGTATGATGTAAATTTCTAGACTGGGATAATATACAGCTTTATTACAGAGTCTTTCTATTTCAAGTATGTATAAACAGTTAAATTGTTAAATACATTCGTAAAATGTTTCATCATCTCCCAAGTGGTAAAGTATTATATACATATAGATGCTGTGCATTTCATGTATATATAGTTACATACGAGGGCTGTTCAATAAATAATGTCATGAACTGTTTGACATACAATACAGATATCATATGACATTAAACTTGACGTTCTCTCATTATTGAATTTTTACTGAATTTATAACAGTTTATGTGACCACTTTTCATCACTAAATGAGAAGCATATGAATATAATGGCTATTCGAGACACTGCAAAATCATAAATATATGATAAAGAAAGTAAACTAGAGTGAAAATAAATGCTACATGAAAGCTGCTGAAAGTAAAACTTGTTATGAAAAAATGCGGATAAGAAGAAATATTCAATGAAATATGTGTCATTTATAGCAACCGATGCCTGATTTATATACAAATCCCACTTTTCAATGATAAAAAAATTATATAATGGGCATCAAAAATGGGTACCCTCCTTGCCAACAAAAATTATAACAACTTATGTATTGTTTGCCTTTCAACAATAATATTTGATGATGTATGATTGACTTTAAAACACATAGGAGAAATAGACATAAAATAAATTGTACATTTACACTATTTTTAAGAAACGATTATCTTAAAAAAATTTACATCTTACCATTTTTTTTTCTCGAAATGTTAATGTTTATTAATATCAAACCCAACCAGCTATGCTTTTTGAAGTTAAATGTTAATATTTTTTTTAATATGTACTTTTATAATTAATATGAAATAAGGCAATTTAAAGTGAGATACAGAAAGTTAATGTTTTTTCAATAAAAATATTTGCACACATCTATATCTTTTGACTTGTTTCTATTTCCTCTCTTGTAAAAAAACACCTTTCAGCCTACAAACGGCACACACCAGGAAATCATGGACGTCTATTTTCAAGTATACGGTCATACACAAAAATGTAAATTTATAAACAATCAGAAATTGGATAAGCTTTATTACAGACATGTGTTTGAATTAAAAGAGATTAAATTGTAAAATCATGAAAATAAATCATTGAAAAGTGGTAAAGTATTATATACATGTACATGTTGTGCATTTCATGTATATATAGTGACATATATATGCAAACTACAACAGAAATATCATAGTGTCGGGTAATCAATATGAAAAATAAAAATAAATATATACGTAACAGTTAAAAGCGCTAAACTTATGATGTTAGAACGTTTATATGTAGATTGAACTTCATAGAATTATAGGCTGTGGACTTTTTAAAATTATTTTTTTAATTCTAAAATTAATATTTTTAAATGCAAAGAGATATATCTTTCATATTGTTTAATTTTATTGCAATCAGTGCAGCATTATAATGCTGGCGTCCCAGTATAAATGTATTATTCTCAAAGGTACGTTAAGCAATCAATTAAGCAACATACGTACAAACACTTATGTCCACCATTGGCATTCTTTAACTGTTTTTATACTATGCGTATAACTTCTTTAAGTGTGAATTGAATTCCAGCATGGGATGTCCAAAAAGATTCACCGTTTCCTTCCTGGCTTTTCTGGGTTTCCTGATTCTGTTTGGCTTTAGGACTGTTATCACCATAATAATGATTTACGTCATAAAAGACAACGACAATAACAAGGCAACGTTATTTAAAGAGGTGAGCAATTTTAAGTTGATGATTTTTTTCCACAGTTAAAATGAATTACCGTGTAAGTTAAAATGATCACTTTATACAGCTTAATGGTAGTACAGTTCTTTTTATAATAACAAAATAAGGGTTTTGCTTTTTTAAATTGTTGAAAATTTTTTTGTGAAAATTCTTAAGATTAAAAATGCATGAGGCCATGGGCTTTCATATGCATAAATTTATTTCGAAAGAATTGTAGGATAATTGAAATAAAATACAGAAAAAAAAAAATTAAGACTCCATGTTTGTATCATAAGGATCAAATGATCAAGTTTTTTTGTTAGAAACTCTTTTGATTTTTTTTAGTGCACCATCAATGGTACAGTGTTTGACCTTCAGTTAGATTGGAGCGTAGCCACTTCTCAGTATTTTAACACTGCCTATTTTATGGGGCAAGTCATCTTCCAGCTGCCAGGAGGAATTCTAGCCGTCCGATTCTCTCCAACAAAGTGAGTCAACTCTCTGTCTATGAACTCTCTTTCTTTTATACATGTACTGATTTATTCATAATGCACGTAATTGTGATCAGAACCACTTAATGTTTTACGCTTTATAAGTGGGCGTCATAATTTTTAAAGCTAAATTCTAATGTTGATCAGGATAGGACAGAACATTTTGTATTCTTTAAGGATATTTCCAAAATAAACCCCAAAGTATATACTAGTATTCTTTTTTACTACTCATACTTGTCCATTGCTTTGCAACTAAAATTATATCAACTGAAATAATAAACCTTAAAGTTTTTATAATGTACCAGTGATTACATTTATAAGCAAGTGTATTATATTTTCTGTTACATCAAATAAAGTTATTATTTTTGCAGATGCCTTTAAACTATATTTTGACCTACTAAAATATATGTTAAAGGTTATAAACTTATAATCATTATCATAATGATGTGTTATTTGAGCTGACTTTTCGTATTTTTTTTCTTTTAAATATGTAACATTATGAAGCCGAAAAACTTCTTCTCTTGGGTTCTAATGCAAATGAAAAGATGGTTATCTATCTCAAATTTCTAGAAAAAAAAATATGAATCCAAAAATTGCTGAAATACATACTCATTAAATCACGAGGAGCATCCTTTGTAGACTGATTACACCCTGTGTATTGAACATATCTGTAGTGAAATTGGTGGTAACCAGCCTAGCAATTGGTGGAAATAATGCAAGTCAAATGCAATAAATGTCACTATGACAACTATATATAAAATTGCTGACTTTTAACAAGATATTTGAAAACCCTGTAACATTTATTTATTTGTCAGTAGTCTATCTTGTTTTAAAAATGAATCAAATTCAATCATAACAAATCGGTTTGGAGACTTAAACGCAAGATGCAGGTTAAAGTTGAATATTACTAGTATCATATAAATAGTGAAAGTGTTGGTATTTTTTACTATGTTGGATTTAGACCAATCAGAGATCTAGGGATTGTCCAAACATATCATACGATAACTTTATTTATGTTTGTAGACTGTTTGGTGGTGCAATATTTATAAGCGGAGGGTGTTTCTGGGTTTTAGCATTTTTAATGAAGTATAGTCCAGCCGTGGTGTTTGTGACTAGATTTATACAAGGCCTTGTAGAGGTACTTATTGTGTATATATTAATAAAAAAAAAAGTTTCAGAAAAAATATTAAGAAGAGATATGAATCAAAAGCTACACGTATCAATATCTTTCCTTTTTTATTGCATTTGAAGGGTATCTGTCTACCTTCAATGGGTTCCGTGATGTCCGCTTGGGCACCAAAGTCGGAACGGACTAGAATTGTGGGATTCTCATACTCAGGTGTAGAAGCTGTGTTTTTTGGTTAAAAACAAACTTTTAGCATGAAATTGACATAGAAATGGTTTGTTTTAAAACCTGAGATATATACTTACAGGTATCTACTTAAGTATCACAGTGGCTTCTATGATCACCGGTACCACAACGTGTTACGTCAGCTGGAACGCGGGATTCCTTATTTACGGTAATAATTTCTTTCAAAGTGAAATTATATTGTCATTTTGGACTTCCTTAAATATTTATAAGATAATTGAACTCATTTGAAGATTGGTAAGAATATTTGAGGATAGGTGCAAAGTTAACTTTGTGTTCCATCCAAATCTAAATGTACCTTGAGAGGCAGAATCAGAAACTCATAGAAGAAAAGTAGGGGAACCTCTTGCAGAAGCACGTCTACATTTTCATCTTGTCAGTTGTCTACAGATGTTCCTTGTTATAAATATTAAATTAACTGTAGTATCATACTTAGTTCTCGCATTTGGACGAAGAGACAGACGGATAGACAGATAACTTTGTTAGATTACCGTAGAAAACATGTCATTTTTATAGTTTTACAGGTAGTTTCAGCATCATTTTGTCACTGTTTTGGCTCTGTACAATTTACGACAGTCCAACACTTCATCCCTCTATGGACGAGAAAGAGAAAGACATTTTCGAGAAAGACGGTTCTCACGTTAAAATTGCGTCTGCAGCTGTGGTGAGATAATTTTTTTTAATCCAGATGCTAACATATAGTGACTACGTTGAAAATAAATCCAAAAACCTTAGTTCCATTTTTTTTTATCTTTTAACAGGCAAGAAACATTCCTTGGATACAAATCTTTTTATCCCCTCCTGTTTGGGTATTATTCCTCGTTAATTTCACACGGTCTTGGGTTCTCGCTACGATGATGACCGAAATACCTCAGTACTTCGCTGATGTCTTTCAGCTAAATGTTGCATCGGTAAAACAATTTATGAATTATAAGAACAGCTTTAAAGCAATTAAGATTAATTTGTGTCCGGGATTCAACCCTTGTTTTAAATTATATAAAGTGCCCAACTTTTCTTTCTCTCAGATTGGGTTCCTAACAGGTTTCCCTCCTATTCTGTTGTCCGTTTCAATGATAATTAGTGGGATCCTTTTCGACAAATTAATCAAAAGAGAAAAAATTTCTGTCACCTTTGGTCGAAAATTGGCAATTTCAATAGGTAGGTAAGGAATGTAACCACATGGGAGTTTTGTGCTGATTTAAGACATTCAACTTTATCAAGAATCTTACATGTACTCATATTTAGAAAATATGACAAAGACTTTAATTTATTTCCAATTTTAGGATTTGGATCTGAGGCTGTCGCCATCTTAGTTTTGAGTTTTGTTGGAAATTATCTGGTTGCAAGTGTCTTGTTAGTTATAGGAGAAGGATTAGCGGGCCTAGGAACTGCAGGTAAAACATAGGCCTACACAATTTTTTTAATTGCAAGAAAAATATATCAGCGTATTCCTACGAACGTGTCTCTCGCAACCATTTTATTCTGGTGTATTTTATTCAACAATGATCAATTTTTGAATTTTTTCTCGCGCTTATATATACCAAACACCTTTCATGCCAAATTACCGGTATATTTGTCGCAAATATATTTTGATTCTTATATGTAAAAACTAATCTGAACAAAACTACACTATTTGAATCTTAGCATATCTGGTAAATCCAGTAGACTTAGCACCCCAGTATTCCAGTGTTCTGGTAGGACTTGTAAGACTGGGTTTATTAGGGGCTGTCACAAGTACAGCGATGGCAGGAGCCATAAGACAAAAGGTAAGTGTGCGCATGACTTGTTTCTACATTTCTGTAAGTTCATCAAAAAGAGGGCGTTTTTACTAAGTATTTACGTCCCCATAATCGAAAAATGTTGGGGTATATTGTTTTTGCCCTGTCCATCAGTCTGTTTATCTGCTTGTCCGCAAAACCTCAGACCTTAATTGTCCGTATGTTTTGATTGGATGAAGCTTTGGCTTTTATACTTTTGAACAGCAATTGTTAGAGCTTTCATTCACAGATGCAATCCTTGTGACAAGAACTTTCTTTAGGTCACCATTTTTACCTTGACCTTGGAATTTGACCTACTTTTGATAAACTTTAATCTTGGACAAAACTTTTGAACAGTCAGTTCTGGGGGGTTTATATTCCACGTGTAAATGTATTATTACAAGGCCTCTCTTTGGATACATGTACCATTATATTTGACCCTTTTACCTTGACCATGGAATTGGATCCACTTTTTGGGTAACAACAATTTTCAGATCTCTTGAACTTCAAAATAAACATAGTGCAACAACTATGATACATCATACAAATGCATTTCTTTTTCCATGGGAGGTGAAAGATGTCTTAGAAAATCTAATAACAATAAAATATTTTCAAAGGAGCAGCGATAGCTAGACCAAGAAAGATAGCCCCTGGCGATTTTTTGTTTAATTAAACTAAGATTAAACATTAGAATGTATATATATTTTTACTTTCAGAATGCACAGTCGTGGACACGGATATTGGTAATTACAGGATCCATACATTTGTTTTCTGTTATATGTTTTGCTATATTTGGATCTGGGAAAGAACAAGAATGGGCCAAGTCAGGGTATACCCGGATAAAAACGCCAGAAAAAGAATACATAAGGACATACGGATCTACCTCTGAAACTCCACAAGTTGAAACAGATACAAGTGGAATAAAGTATAAAAACGATCAAAAAGGCCATGAACCTATTTTGAATATTTCCAAACAACAGTTACAAAGCAAATAGTTGCAATGTTTTGCAAATTATGTTTATTTGTTAATTTAGAAAAAATCGTCACGATTTTTCTTCTCTTGTTTAAAATAAGTGAATTTTAGTTAAATGTCTCCAAGAAAAAAACAAAGCAGCAGTTCCATTCAATCAGACAGATTTTGTTCATTTATATGATACATCTTTACATTGAAAGAACCCCAAAAGGGTCTTTTTTACGCAAAAAATATCACACTTGTATTATTTTTATGTATACATATGACCCATGATTCACAATGCTCATATGATATTTCTTTCTATTTTTGATTGTGTACAAAAAAAAACTTTTTTACAAATTATAATAACAATAATACATGTAAATGTGTACGAAAGTACTTTTTCAAAAAAACATCATGCATTCACCTCATCCTTACCCATCACAAAAAAATCATGGTTTGAAGACTTTTGAAATTCCTCACTAGTAAACAGGTTATTGCTTGCTCTTTATAAAGTACGAGGGCTGTTCAATAAATAATGTCTCGGTGCTCGGAAATAAACAAAAAAATCTTTTTAATGATTTCCCTTAAATATTCACTTTTAATTAAAATGCACGTCCGTAACATTTTTAATTCAATTTCTAACTGTGTTTAGAACACATTTTTGAGTATGTCCCTTCGTATACTGGAATAAAGCAGATCCTATAATTTCCTGGACTTTTTTTTTCTGAAAGGTTGGAAAATGAAACAAGTCAAAAGGTGAAAGATCTGGCGAATATTGTTGGTGTGACAAAACATAAACGTTTCTGTTTATCTCCAAAACTCCTTTACTCATCAGGGCGTGCGGGTTTGGACGCAGTCATGAAGAAATTTATTGTAGTGGATTCCTGATTCTGGTTCCTTCCTTTCATAAACCTTTGGATTTTTTTGCAAAAATTTTGCTTTCTAGACTCCTCCATAAACTGAACAACCTCCCCGAATACGAATTTGAACAACAAGACCACTAGCTCTTGCAATTCTTTGCTCTTCTCAGACCTTTGCTGTTTTGTCAATAACATCTTATTGTAAATTTTTGTTTTGAGGGTTTTAAGCAATAGATTCAAGTTTCATTATCTGTTTGAATTTCAGACAAACGTGGATAACTACAATTTCTGTTGTTTTTTTTTAAACAATTGTTTAGATATTCTTACACACTGTCTTTTTCACTCATTTTTCAAAATATAGGGTGACCTTTGAGTTCTAAGCTTTTTTACTGTCAAATGTTTCTGTAAAACAGTGTGAACTACTCCCAAAATTTGCTATGTGTCTTAAAGTCAATCATACATCATCAATGATTATTTGTTGAATATTGGCAAACAGTACATTGGTTGTTAAAATTCCTTGTTGCCAAGGAGAGTACCCATTTTTGATGCCCATTATATCATTTTTGTTCATTGAAATCCACCTGCTCGTGTGATGTGTCTATAAAACAAACATTGGTTGCTGTAAATTTCACATATTTCAGTGAATATTTCTTGGGATTCTTAACAAGTTTTACAGCATGCAGCTTTAATGAAGCAGTTAATTTCACTCTATTTTACTGATTCTTTACCATTCATTTTTAATGCAGTGTCTCAAATGGCCCTTGTTTTCCAGCTTCTTACAATGAAATTAAGTGATGAATGGTGGTCACATCATGCAGCTTTAATGAAGCAGTTAATTTCACTCTATTTTACTGATTCTTTACCATTCATTTTTAATGCAGTGTCTCGAATGGCCCTTGTTTCCAAGCTTCTTACAATGAAATTAAGTGATGAATGGTGGTCACATAAACCGTTATAAATTCATTAAAAATTCAATAATGAGAGAAAGTCAAGCTTAATGTCATATGATATCTATATCGTATGTCATAGAGTTCAGGGGCTCTTAACATAAAGCTTGCTAAGTTTTTGACTTAAGTAGGGTCGCAAGTACGTTTTAGGCACAATCTTAGGACCTGTCTAAGTACTACTTAAGTATGTCTTAAACCGTAACATAAAGCGAACTTAGCTATGTCTTAGCTAAGTCAAACTTATGTTAAAAATATTTCATACGAGTCAATTTATGGTTTTTCATTTTATGTAGATATACGAGTATTGTTAAATGTGATCCAGTTAGGGTTTAAATTAAATATACATGTATATTAAAGTTGACGTCTTTACCTATCGGATTTAATTATGTTTGATTAGATCTCGTATTAAAATGATGATTCTATTATAAATCATTCGGAATATTTGAAAACAAATATATTGCAGGGTCACAACGTGGCTATTCATGGTTCATCGTAAATGTACGACTATTGTTTTATCGATCACTTGAGATGTTTTCAGTTTACTTTTTGTTTCTCTTTTGTTTTGACAAATGTTCACTTGCTTCGTTATTCTTGCAAACATAACAAGATAATCGACCGTGTATCTACTTGAAATTGAAACTCTAAAAAGTTCAAAACATTTCAACCCAACCCCCCCTTATGTATCAAGCATGCATGTCCGTGGCAAAGACTGCATAAGTTTTATGATATACATGTACTCATTTGCAATTTAATCAGTGATAAACTACATTTATTCTACTTTACAGATACTTTTTATCACTGTTTTAAGGAATCACTGTCTAGTTAGTATAGTATGCCGGGCATCAACGATAGTGGGAAACATGGGATAACTTGCATAACGGGCGAAGCCCGTTATGCATAAATTATCCTATGTTTCCCACTATCGTTGATGTCCCTGGCATACTATACTAACTAGACAGTGATTCCTTATATTTCCATTTCATTGTGAAATAAAATTGCAGATTTAGACTTTAAAAATGTAGACATAGACTTAAATTACACGAGGACTTCCATGCCATTTTCAATAATCCTCGCCCACTGACGTCAAACACACAGGCAGCCGCACGAGATTTACATGCATATCTGGCCTCCTTAGCGTCAGACACTGAGACAGATACGCACGAGATGTGCATGCATATTAGGCCTCCTTAGCTCCTGACCTATTGACCTGCCTAATTTACATTCCGGCAGAATTATCAAGAAATAAACTCCGACAACTTTCAAAGAGTTATCACAGAGAAAAAATTAGAAATGGAAATATTTGGTCATCATCCTCTTTCTTTTCTCTTTTAAAAAAATTATTTCATCTCATATTTTCAAAGTGAACAGAATGATCCATGATTTATTACAGTGTTCAATTTTTTTCTATAACCTAGGTCCCACTAATCCCCCCCCCCCCCCCCGACGAAAAACTAAAATTCTTAAATCGGCATCAAATATAGATAATTGTTTTCTATAATGCATAATATGAATAGAGGACTGTTTTAACATCATAAGTCAACATTAAATAATTCCAAATACATGTACAAAAAAATTAAGATATACTCAGTCATAAACTGTTATAAATTAAAAATCTTAGCAAGCTTCTAGTTACGGTCTTAAGTTTTAGACTGTACTTAAGGCCTACTTAAGGATGATCTTAGACTTAAGTAGCCTTTATGTTACGACCCCCTGGACATTATTTATTGAACAGCCCTCATATGCAATATCTTATAAGACATGTTTAATAATTGTTGAATATCTGAAAGAAAAACAATTGTAAGTCAATTTTGACCATCCTTTAATTTGGCATAATGTGGGATAACATGTTTTACAAATTCACAATACAATACAATAATTATCAACTGACACAATAATGAATGCTATGCATCATTAATACAACTGGAAAGACTAACTGGTTTAACTCATTTTGGTTTTTTGCCAATAATCAACAGGATTAGAGAAAGTCTTGGAAATTCAATTTTATTCAGGTTTCCTGGGTTGCACTAGCATTTTGGCCCATCCCTTTCTTCCTCACACATTTGTCTGCTTCAATTTGAATATCGGGATTACAAACTAGGGCATGACCCAGTTTTTTTACCTCTGACCTTGACCTCCAGATCTTGATGGTGTTATCATCACTTACGGTCACCATGTACTCCTGGTTAGCAGGGTTGAATCCCACAGCATTGACCACACCCCAGGAGTGTTCATAGACTGCAATGTTGTTTCGGTAGTGCTTGTCCCAGAGGTAGGCTCTGGCATCCTCACTACCACTACAAGGAAAAAAAGTTTTGAAAAACATTAGTGTTTAGCTGGTACAATGATAAGTATAAATTCACATTGGCATAACAATAAACAAGAAGCCCATGCACCATATTAGTTACATGACCATCACAGAGCGATTTCATCTACGTACTGATTTGTAAAAAGGGAGTTTGTCCAAAGGGGGATGCTGTATGCAAATATGAAATACAAGTAAAATTGATACTGTACCTATGGGAAAAGTTTGGATATCTCCTTATTAACACAATGGTGTCTGGATAAATTTAAAATGGAGTAATATTGTTGCAAGTGTTATAGGGTGAAATGAAGGATATGGAGATAATGAACAGTATTCAATATCAAAGTCCATAAAACAATACAAACTAGAACTGTCCAATAGGGACAAATACCCCCGCTGGGTTTTTCAGAGTAGGTGCCAATTCAGAAATATTTTATGGATCTAGTAAGAGGTGTTCACTATTGTCTAATAAAGTGCCCCGCCACAGCATGATACGCCCATCAAATATTGTTCAATAATCATAAATTGGTTAGGGTGCAAGAAAATCAAGTAAGCTTGATTAACAGATTGACACAGATTTCAATGATCTAATTTCCATTTCTTATTATGGTTAAAATATTGTACATACATCTCTTAAAGACTTACAGTGTAGGGATTAATTAAAACAAATAATACATCATATATAATTCTAATTAAACTGGCTGTGTTAGAGCTTAACAAATATCCATCTGCAGCTTTAAATTGTTTATTGCATATTTTATGAAATAATGGAAATGCTACAGTCTAATAAAAAAAAATCAAAAATTAATTATTCTTTAGACTATAAAATTCTAAGTGAGACATGACTGCAATTTGTTGCAAATATATAAAAATTGAAATGTAATTTTTTTTCCAATGAACACATGTATAATTAATTTTAATTATATTATACAATACTAATTCAGTTTCAATCATACACTAAAACATCAATTTGTTTTAATTACATTACACCAATTGAAAGATCTTTATCTGAACTACAGCCATCAAGAACTCTTAATTAACACAAGCAACTATAAGGCCATTTCTTTTTGCCCAACTCCCAAGAGATAAATTAAGATAACACTGCATCAGATCAGATCTAGAGATGCTCTTGCCAGTTAACTCCCGACAATGAACTCATTAATTCTCTCTAATTTGACATGCACATTTCTGCTATCAAAAATTCTCCTTGACCAGTGCTTGATAATTATGCCCATGGGACAAACTGAATTCCTCTCAAATCATTAACATTTGTTACAGAATCTGCTGTAAAGTATATGATGAAAAAATAAGTTTTTACTTCATTTAGCATTTTTTAATAAGGATACAACTATATTTTAACATTTTTTAGGATTATGAAATTTAAAATTTTAAAGACTGTTTTTTTTTTTTTTAAAATCACTTAAATTAAAGGTCACAGTGACCTTGAAATAGGTCGTGACACACCGTCTACCCAAGATGCATAAATTGTCCAAGTTTGATGATTGTAAGTCTAATAGTTTTCTAGTTATGAGCCAAACAAAATCACAAAAGAAAAAAGAAAAAATGCCTGTAAAATGCAGAAAAATCATCCAATCATGATGAAAATCCCAGGTGCACACCTTCATATGGTGAATAATAAGTGTATAAATTTTCAGACAAATCCATCCAATAGTTTCTGAGAAACGGTCCGGACAAAATCTTGTCTACAGACAGACGGACAGACAGACGGACATGGTGATTCCAATATACCCCCCTAAACTTCGTTTGCGGGGGTATAAATAGGAGAGTAATATGGGATGAAAAATATCACATTTCTCTTTTCATGAAAAGTTAATAAAATTTTCATTACCTTCCAACATAATCCTGGCTAACATCCAGAAATACAAAACAGCACATGGTGGAGGGGGAGTATCCCTTGTGGCCAACATAACGTACTCCCTCATTCTTTAGTGTCAACAAGTCGATAACCAAGACCTCTATAGAAGGTGACAGGTCAGGGGTTGCCCAAGGGTCATTTCTATCCACTTTACCAATCCATGGTCGATAGTTTAAGAATAAATATCTGTAAAACAAGAATAATGAACATAAGCCAACATTCTTTTCATGAAAATGGATACACGAAAATCCTAAAAAATTTTAATTCCCAGTTACAAGTATTGAGGCCAACTGGCACTGTACAAATTCAATACATTTCCTTATTAGGTGGTATACATGTATAATGAAATGACTGTAAAACTATTGATATGCCATTGAGAAGATCTGCATAAATTATTTCCAACATATTACTTCAATAAAATTGAACTCTTAATTATGGATCCAGCATAACCCTTTAGTTATTATATGCACGTACCGGTAGTTTGAAAACACATAAAGCTACAAAATTACTGCATAAAGATGTGAAGGTACTCCAATTATCATGTAAAAATCAAATACTTTTAAAACCCAGGGATTTATACGATTTTAGTTCTTACCTATTATCACTTGACAGACAGAGTCCTGTCACATGTCCAAATAGGTCGATCAGATGATCTGGTTTGTCCGATTTTCTCACCGGTTGCACGTGAATGTCATTATTACTGAAGTTGACCACCATGTGGTGACTTTCCTCACTGACCTCCATCTCTTCAGCCTCTTTCTCATTTCTAGTGGACGTCAGCTTTAACACTGAATCTGCGCTGACATTCTTAATACCTAACTGATGCAGAGCAACGGCAAACTCTCCTGTCACAAATATCAAGTTCTTCACTGATGAGTCTTCTTCAACGGCCGATGAGAAATTGCTATCGTCCACTTTAGTACATATGGATAATGAATCACTATCCATAGAATTAGTACACGTGGATAATGAATCGCTATCCTCTAGTTTATTACCAGTGGATAATACAACGGACTCAGCCTTCTTCCCAGATCTCCCTTCGTCCAATGAGCATTTACACTTGCCTTCACCGTTATAAGCTCCCAAATTATGACTATTCTGGTTTTGGTTATAGTTACAACACATATTTTCAGTATCTAAGGAATCCTCATTTCCAGTCTGGAAGTCTTTTACCTTGCAGCTTGCTTTGGGTTGAGATGCCACTGCTTCTACGGTCTGGTCTGTAATATTAGCTACGGTTAAGAATTTGATGAGACTTGCTGTTTCACTAGAGAATGTGAACAAATTCTGTCCAACACCTTCTTCCACGACAGGGGGAGTATCATTTGGTAATGGTACATCTTTATCAACCTGAGAAAACACAATGATAAGTTGTTTACGGTATTCATTGCTCAAGTCACAGGTTTTCTGATCATTCTATATCCACAATGGCTTGCATGTAAAGGCATGTAATATGGCTTTATAACTTCACAAAGAGTAAATTTTCATATACATGTAATATACTGATCCTGAAATTATTCAGTCAGTAATACATGCATACAAAACTTGAAATAATTCCATCTGTAATATACTGAACCTGAAATGATTCAATTTGAACAGTTGTTGCAAATCTATCTAGGCTTATTTCTAAGTATCCCCCTAGGAATGTATTATCATCTAGCCATGCACCAAACAACTGAGATGGGTCCATTGAAACAACTCTCAAAATCTGTAAATCTAAAAAAAAAATTAAATACATGTGAATTGTGATCTATGATAACTTTTTTTTAAAGATGTACTAGCTCATAAAATAGTTATACAGTAAACAGTAAAAGGGATTATAGATACTATATGTAGTGTATCCTCTAACTAAAAAGATATAATATAATGAAAATGATACATGTGGTTCATGAAACTTACTATGCACAAGAGACAAAATGGCCACAAAGCCCCTCCTATCTAAGAAGTCTGTGGTTTTGACACTGGATACCAGAAGCATTGTGTCACTTTTGTTGAAGCATGAAAATTGTGTAAAGTCCCAAGACAGCAGTTCTCGGAAATCCCTACAGTACTTCAGAGTTGTGGGATACCCCACCTGCCAAACCTTTGAAAAATGATTAAAATAAATAATGATGGCTAAATACAACCATACACACACTTTAACAAAAAAAATAATCCGCTTAATCTCAATGATATACATGTAAATCTTCATGGATAAATATAAGTTTTAACATTAAAAATTATATTTATCCATTTTCTCTTGGTTAATTACAGTACAGTTTTCATCAACTGGGTAAATGTGAAAAAATTCACACTCTTATCAGTTTTGAGTTTTCTAGAGAAAACTGATCAGAAACGCTACCTTTATGGAGGCGTCTTTAGACGTTGTGGAGAACATGTCCCCGCGGTGTGAGAAGCTGACATGGAGGACTTCATCGCTGTGATCTTTGAGGACCTCTGTTAGTATCACAGGACAGTTGTAGTGAAGACGTTTATACTCTAGGTACCAGCTGTCCTTCCCCGGGGGGAGGGTCACTCCATGTATGTCCCAGGTCCTCCATAACAATGCCTTCCACAGACTCTCATCAAAAGCCACACGACACCAGATCTACCAATACAGTCAATTGTTGTTATCTCAAACTCAATAGGACCAAGAAAAAAAGGGTTTCAAAATATTGAGGGTGTAATACATAGAGAAAAAGAAGAAGGGATTTCAAAATCACTTTAACGTACCTGATTCTTTATGAAATTCTAGAAGTACATACAAAAAATTGCTATGCTACTAAATTTACGCAGAAAATACATATCAATCAATGGTTTTTTTCTTCCCAAACTTAAGCCCCCCCCCCCTTCAAAGAAGAGGTTGTGTCAAATGATTATATGTGTTAATTTTCTTTCCCTCAGGTAAACATCAATTTCATCAACAAATTCACCTACACGACTGTGGTTATCCTCTAACATTGACAAAATTTAAAATGATTCATTACTATTAAGTATTTATATTACCTTGCATGTCTGAGACACCGGGATTAAATGGTTTGCATCCAGATAAGAGAATATATGAAGAAGTAATGACTCTGGTATATCAGTCCACATTGAACAAGTTGTCTCACCATCGTCTTCAGAAGTGTTCCTGATAATCATAGAGATAAATCTCTTAGAAAGTTGCACATGCCTTACCCCACATCCCAGAAGATTTCAATGAAAACAGTAAAACACAACTGTCACAGTCTCAAATTAATGCAGGATATTATATTCTTGACATAAGTAGCTAAAACTACGCACTTTCCAAGTAAAAAAAAGTTTTTTATTTGTATAAAAAGTCATTCAATTATGATTTATTGCAAAACCCGTAAAAAGATTCCTACCTTCTCTCTCCTATGCAATGCAGTGGCATTTTTTGGAGTCTCCCGAACTGTCAAATCTCCATTCCGAATTTCGTCGAATCGAATGGTACATGAAAGTTTCGGAGAATTGAATAAATTAAGGGAACATCAGATTTGAATGTATATTAAATGTGTTCGAATTGTAAAAACATTTATTCAAGTATTAAATAGGTATTGAACAATATTTTTATTTTTAGTTTTATTTTAGTATGGTACAATTATAATACGAAACTTTGCTTTTAAAGCCATACATTGGAATGGGGGTGCGTTTATGAAATGAAATGAAAATTGAGTATGAGATAAATAAACCAACACTTCGTTTGGTAATAACCATCTACAATCACTTTCTTAAAACTTTTAAAGATGGTGTAAGCCATCTGGATGCGCATGAAAGCGGATGAAATGTGTAAAATGGACAGGTCTTAATTAACTCTTGACACCATCCCCTTTATTGTCTCTCAGTTTTGACTTCAATTATTTAGTAAGTTGTTCATATTCGATTCGCTTTAAAAACGTGAGGCGAAAGAAGAGAGACATAAAACCACTGAAGAAAGGTTCGATTTGAAATCAATATAGGCAACAAATAAAATTTTTTAAAAAAGAAAACTTTTTCTTATAGAACCCTTTAGATGTTCAACCAGGAAAATGAAAAATAAACAAATAAATAAAACAAGAGAAACATATGAGCCCTCTCAAAATAAATTTAAAAAAATTAATATACTTTAAAGGAGTTAATTCTACTTTCAAAGAAAGTGAATCATTAAAACTACATGTAATATCAAAATAACTTTGAATCAAGACATGATACAAAGCTTGAGGATGCATATGGACTTGAAAATTCTGTAGTCATAATTTTTTCCATTGTGGATTGAACAGCCATAAAAATTCCACAGGAGACTCTGTCAAATTTAGAATTATTTAATTACTTCAGCCCTATAGTCACGTGGACTCATATCATATTAAAAACAAAAAGTTATATTTAGCCACATTTTATTGCAGAGATAATAGAAAATATTTTTTTTAATTACACATCTATATATTTTGTGTACAAATATACAACATATGATAAAATCTGTTCCATGTAGCTTTGACAATTTTCTTTAAAACAAAACTCTCTCCCCATCCAAGCATTCACAGCCCCCTACCCCCCCCCCCCTCCCCATTTCAAAGTTATCCCTGTTCCCAGGGTTTGATCCTCCGCTCCATTCTGGTTTCAGTTGGTTCAATGTCCAATGGTTTTATATCTAGTTCAGTAACACCAGGTAATGGTAGACCCTTAGATATCATTTCTACCACCTGACCAAAGCTAGCTATAGGCACCTCATCAGTGTCAGACAAAACTGTCTTTATTTCATCATCTTTCTCTGACAATACTATTTCAGAAATTAATTGTTGGCAAGAATCAATAGTTTCAGAGTTTTTGAATGCCTCAGTTCTATCTGTGCTCATAACATTTGCTTCACAGATACTTGATCTAGGTGACTTTTCAGTATTTGGTTTAAATGGCTCACTTTTTGTGTGTATTTTTCTTTCTTCAATCAGGCTATGATCTGAAATAAAACATATTAACAATTATTAAAAGGCCTACTTCTAGAGGTCTATTGGACAAGCAAATTTTCAAAATTCAAATACATATTTTTTAATTTAATCAATATTTTACTATGTAAGTAAGATCACATAACTGGATTGGACATCAGGCATGGCCTATATAAGTCCTCTCCAAGGTCAAGGTTACATCAAATGTTAAGAATTGACAATGATTTACAATGATGAAAAAATTTCCTTATAAATTCAATTACATAGAAATGTCAATCAATTAATGCTAAAAGGTCGACTGAAGGAGAAAACTTTTCAAGAAAAGTTCAAAGTCATAAATAATCTGGTGCAGCATGAAATTTATTCTGAGGATATCAGAGAGGAAATACCTTATAAACAAACCAGTTTATTTGCATTGTTTATCTGCTATAGATCATTAAATTCCCACATGAAACTTTAGAATTGGTCAGCACTGTACCTTCTGTCTGATTTTCCAAATTATTATCTTTAAGCCAGTGTCTGTAATCAATGGCTGTAATTTTCCCATATTTCCTTTAAAAAAAATAGACATATAATTGAGAAGTGCATGATATGAAAACTATACATGGCTCGCTCTATCTTGAAAAACCAAAAATAAATCCTAATTATTATAATGTCAAAAATATTAAGCCTTCTTCCATCAGTCTAGTGAAGAAAATGATGTATAAACGTGATTTTGAAAAATATTTTTGACAAATTTTGCATTAACTGGGACATTTTAATGAAAGAGACTGTTAAATTTCACAATAAATGAGGCACTGACCATTTGCAAGGCAAAATAAAATTGGCAAAGCAAAAAAATTTTCCAGATGTTATCAATATGCAAAGGAATATTATCTCAGTTATCATGAAGGAGTTGATTATTTAAATATGACCCCAAGTGTACCGAGGCACTCTTGACAGGGTTTTTTTTAGGGGTTGTAGGGGGCCTGTATAAGGCCCCATTCCCAATGGTTAAAAACTAAAAAGTATGTGTTTTTCCCAATTTCATTAAAGAAAATTCCCAAGAGAATTGAAACAAAGAAATCAATTAAAAATGTCCAAACACAGTGATATTTTTATTAAAAGTGTTGTTCCAAATAAAAATCTAAAAGGCATTCTCCCAAAACTGATTGACTGAATGTAAAATAAGTCAAAGAAATATTTTGCAAATAAAACAAAAACCCTCTTATTTGAATTTATATAGAAAAATATTAGATATGATACTTTTCCCAATATCAACCAAATGTTGCTATTTTTCCCAATTGGAAAGGCCCAGGCCCTTGTTTTTAAGATCTAGAAAAAACCCTGCTCGACCATAGACAACTCAGAAGTCTGTCCACTTCTCGAAGACAAAAGTTGAAAATAATTTAATTCAAACTTTTTTTTTTAATAGAGATTCAATCTTTTAATGTAAATAGAAATACTCTAAAACTCTTTATTCAGAAATTTAATCTTTTAATGTAAATAGCTAAAGTAGTAAAATAGTAAAGTAACTTACTTAGAGATATAGAACAACTGAGCCTGGAGCAATTTTTCTGTTGTCTTTTCACATTGTTGAAATATACTTTGAATTCCAGATTGAAAATCGTCATCAGCCTCAAAATTGTAACTGTGGAATATTTTACAAATATCGCCAGTAGATTCCATTAGCAAAGAAAAGACATTAGCTTATTAGGCCTAATCATTAGATGTCAAAAATCTAGTCTCTCAAAAATCAAAAAACAACAACACTCAACAGCTGAGAATCTACTTTCGTATTAGCGAGGTTATCCCGATCCCGAGGTAATTTACATATTTTTTTTTACTCCGTCGGTTTCATGTTTATAAAACAAGTTTAACCGTCTATAAAAAGACCTACAATACATGGGCAATATTGGCATGTGTTTCCAACAGAGATATACTGGAAAATTGATCGTATTACAATGAAAATAGATTCCTTTAATTTTGAAAATCAATGTTGAAAATCAACATCCCTTCCCTCTCCCACTAAATAGATTTTTGAGTTTGAACACCAACTTTTTAAAAAGGATTTTATCAGGAAATTTCATATAAGTTGTCGTTTTTGGATGACTCAACCCAAACTCCCCTGTCCCCTCTATTCCAACTTTAAAAAATCAAAGTACTGAGACGTGAGCAATACTAAAAGCTAGACGGCCCGGGGTCAAAATAAACTTCATGCTAGCTTTCACAAACATTACCGCTGCGCATTGAGAAATATTTTAATTGCTTTTGAGTTTTGATACATGTACCAACTTCATTTTTTGTTATTAAGATACTAAAACAAAGCTTTATAAAATATATCTTCACGTTTTCATTCACTGTGAATTAGAAAGTTCAATAATTGCTAACCCGGGTTAGTGAAGAAATCTTACCTGGTCCGAATTAAAGTTTGACATTTTCAAAATGCTACATTTTTGAGAGTAAAAAAAATTAATATCACTTTTTTCAGTTTGATCAAGAATTTGTGTATTTTGATCAAAACAATTTCTGCACTCTTTTATATAGCGTAGATTAAATTCTCTCTCATACTCTCTCATACTATACATTCTTTCTCCCCATACTCTGCAACCACGCGTACGGTCACCCCTTTTTTGTCTTCTCCCTCTCCACTCAATCTACGCCACTCCCTCCTTTTCCTGAGCACACAATTACATTATAACAACTAAATTTTGTTTGATACATATTTGGATAAAGTTTCATCAAAATCGGTGACCATGCGAACCAAAAAAAGTCCCTTGATTCATTTATTCGAATAAATTATATGACCCTTTCAAATCAAATGGGTTTTGACCTATCCAAATCGATGATAAAATCTTTCACACACTGGAACAGCGAAGATGATACTGGAATAACAATTCAAGTCTGAATAAGTGATATCACTGAAAGACAGTAATACCAAAACGACCCCTCAGTGTTTTATTTTTAACTGTAAGTCAGTGGTCCTTTGAATAATATAAATGGGTAGCTCGACCTTCTGTCCAAATTGAAGGCGTTTATTCATCAAATGAATGTGAATGTGAAAATGTTAAAACTTTTTTAGAAGTAACTAGGCATTCAAAAGACATAGCATAAATATTCATTATTACATAATTTACTTCAATACCTTTGTATCATTTATAGCACTTAATAGCATACAAAGCTAGAACACATAAGAAATTAATGTGAGGTCTTGAAGGCTAAATTTCCCTCGGCAAAACAATAGTAAAATAATTCGTCCGTAAAACTAACGTACATATGAATATTAATTTTTCTCAGGTGAAACCGGCATGAATGTTTCGTTTTAAAACCACCACGAGTCGATGGAAACTTCGGAACAAAAATTGTTTTTTTTGAGAAATATTTTACCGATGGACCAGTTCCCCTACGTACACAAAAATGATGACTAAGCAATATTTGTCCTGAACATAACAATTGACTTTATATTTGCCTCAAGGTAAGACAGAAAAATGTTTGTATACGTACGTTCATTTGCATATACTCATGTCGTCAAGGTTAAAACAATTTACAACATGCAGTGGAATGTTTATTGACAAATTATTATTTGTGAAAGGTTTAGTATGTTACTCTTTCGCATTTATCATGGTATATGGTTCTGTGAACAAATTGTTTTCAGAGAACGCCTTTTATAGACAGGGCGAGGCGAAGCTTACACGTCGATTCATGATAGTTTTCTAATCAACAGGAACAACCATTGTTTTTAACTACATCTGTATTAAATTAATTAACTTTCTTCATCTTGTTTAATTCTGAATATAGCCAAATTTCTCAGAAATAGGGTTGATAAAACTGATTTTCAAATATTTTTTTTTACTAATTTTTATAACGATGCTGCCATTTCGGTACAGTTCCATATGAAATATTTAGAAGATACTTGTTATTCATGCGAAATATTAGAGTAAAAAGTAACATTTTATGATAATTTAGAGTCTTTTTGTTGTCTAAAGATTGAGGATTTTATTTACTGGTTCATTAAAAGGGATTTTAGAATAAAGTAGTGTGCATATGGTTTACCATGGCTAAGTATCCCAACATTTATTACACATTTTAGCTAACTAAAGCTGCTTTGTTAACTCTTTTTAACTTCAGGAAATAAATAAATGAAAAAAAAACTGTTTAGTTCTGCAAATGGTTTGTAGAGCAAACCCATAACTTTCTCTAACATGATCTAGTCAACACAATGGCTTGTAAAATAGAAATGTAATATCATGAGCCTACTCATCGTCGCAAGCCACGGGTTTTGTGTCCATTCTATTTCCACTATTTTGTGCAAATAGAATGGACACAAAACCCGTGGCTTGCGACAATGGAGCCTACTAATAATATCTTTTTTTTAAACCAGTCTAGAAATTCCCTCGATCACTTTAGCTATGGGAACATCAATTATAAATATTAAGGAATGATTTTTAAATTTGAAACTAGAGCATACTAGTACATCAAATTGCTTTTTTAGCTCACCTGAGCCGAAGGCTCAAGTGAGCTTTTCTGATCACATTTTGTCCGTCATCCGTCCGTCTGTCCATCTGTAAACTTTTCAAATTTTCGACTTCTTCTCAAGAACCACTGGGCCAATTTTGACCAAACTTGGTACCAAACATTCTTGGGTAAACGAAAATTCAAATTGTTAAAATGAAGGTCCAAGTCCCCTCACAAGGGGAGATAATCAAGAAAATAAGAAAATAGGGTGGGGTCGTTAAAAAATCTTCTACTCAAGAACCACTGGGCCAGAAAAGTTGAAACTTATGTGGAAGCATCCTTGGGTTGTATAGATTCTAAATTGTTCAAATCATGGCCCCCGAGGGTAGGGCGGGGCCACAATGGGGAATCAAATTTTTACATAGAAATATATAGGAAAAATCTCTTAAAAATCTTCTTCCCAAGGACCACTGGGCCATAAAAGCTGAAACTTATGTGGAAGCATCCTGAGGTAGTGTAGATTCTAAATTGTTCAAATCATGACCCCCGGGGTTGGGCGAGGCCACAATGGGGATTCAAAGTTTTACATAGAAATATATAGCAAAAATCTTTAAAAATCTTCTTATCAAGAACAACCTGGCCAGAAAAGCTGAAACTTGTGTGGAAGCATCCTGGGGTAGTGTAGATTCTAAATTGTTCAAATCATGACCCCCGGGGGTAGGGCGGGACCACAATATGGAATTAAAGTTTAACATAGAAATATATAGGGAAAAATCTTTAAAAATCTTCTTCCCAAGAACCAGTGGGCCAGAAAAGCTGAAACTTAAGTGGAAGCATCCTGGGGTATCGAAAATTCTAAAATTTTCAAATCATGACATCCCCCCCGGGGGGAGGGGGGGGGGGGTAGGGTGGGGCCACAATAAGGAATCAAAGTTTTACGTAGAAATATATAGGAAAAATCTTTAAAAATCTTCTTCTCAAGAACCACTGGGCCAGAAAAGCTGAAACTTATGTGGAAGCATCCTGGGGTATTGTAGATTTCAAATTGTCTAAATTATGATCAGTGGAGTAGAATGGGGTCACAATATGTATTACAAGGGGGAAATCTGGTAAAGAATAGAGTGGTCAAAGCTTCTCAGGTGAGCGATGTGGTCCATGGGCCTCTTGTTCTGAAGAAAACTGTTGCGACAGACAGACAAAAACTTTATTAACGTATAGTTTAAGAAAATACCGGTATCAAATAAACTATATTTTTAGTAAGCTATCCATATGCCTGACCCTTAACAAATGTGTACAAAATACAGTTAGTTTTTAAAATGCATTATTCGTGATCAAATATAAACGACACCAGGACCATGGTTACTTGAACGCCTTATACTTACTTGATATTAAACATAAACAAAACTAAATATAGTTCGCTTTCAAAATGAAAATGCTTTACTTTTCATTAAAACACAAATAGCTAGTATCACTAAACTCTCATGAAAATTTTTTCCTGTGATCAAAACTGTACAAAACCACGGTAACAATCCATGGAATGTCTTACACATATAATTATATCAACGATTACGTTGAAAGCTAACTATAAATGAACCGAATCGATTGGACTATTTATCAAGGTTCTATTGTTTTTTCAATTCCCTACTTCAAATGTTGTATTTCTGCATATTGTAGTACTAGTATTTCAAGTGATTTTTCTCACAAGCTTTGTTTTAGAAATTGAAAGAAGAATGTATTAATAGAGAGAGAAGAGAGAGAGAGAGAGAGAGAGAGAGAGAGAGAGAGAGAGAGAGAGACTTTCCTTGTTTAATGTACAATCTTCATTTTTCAGAATGTTGGAGACAGACATGGACAACAATCATGAATCTGTTCCTCTTGGCGAAAGTAACAGAGGCAAATCAAATAATCAAAATAGAAAGCAGCTAGGCAGACGAAGCATCGGGCGATTGCACATCTTGTTGATTATTATGGGAATTATTATACTCATTCTATTAATCGTAATTTTAGTGTTGGTTTTTATGAAGGAGAAGGAGAAAATCCCCCCTTGTTCGTCAGGTGAAAGTGTTGATTTATCGGAACCGGAAAATCCCTCCATATTTCACGATTTAACTTCCAAGGAGGTGAAAGGAATGTTGGAATTTTTATATGAGCAAAAAGATCTTAATATAACGAGACCCGCAAAGATAAAAGTGAAAACGTCGTATATCTTTACTGCGGAGCTTCATCTTCCAGAGAAAGCAGATGCTGTTTCTTACCTTGATAGTCGCGCCGGACAGAAACCACCCAGGCAGGCGCGGGTGATTATTTTCCGAGGGGACTTAATCGTACCAAAAATAATGGAGATAGTGGTAACTCCGCTTCCTAATCCCACTCATTACACGATCTGGAAGGACAACATTCCTTTCCGGTACCGCCCTGTCAGCGGACCAGATTACAATAGTGCCATAGAAAGTATCACGAAGGAAACAGACAAAAAAGCGCGGCAACTTCTGCTAGAGAGCTTCGGCGGGACACTTACAAACTGCAATGATGCTTGTCTTGCATTTAAGTTTATGACTCCTGTGTCGTCTGTTCTCAGCGGCAGGCAAAGACGATTATATTGGTTTTGGATGTATCAATTCGTCGAATTTTATATTCTTCATCCTGTTGACTTTGCAGTCTTAGTCGATATGGACGATCTAAGATATTCAATTGAGAAGGTGTGGTTTAACGAGCATGCTTTTGACACCATCGATTCTCTTGTCATGCAATACAACAGGAACACAATGCAAAAGAATCCTATTTTGTTTCCTTACATGACTGACAGTCTATTCTCAAAGTTAAGAAGACGAAATAGTGAGTTTTCCGAAACACCACAGCGTCCGCCAATTTCCATTGAACCGGATGGTCGGAGATATAGCATAAATGGTCAACATGTCAAGTACATGAATTGGGAATTCGACTTCAGAATGTCCAGTACTCGAGGCCCACAATTGTATGATATTCGCTTCAGGAACAATAGAATTGTATACGAGCTTGCTCTTCAAGAAATGAGTGTATTTTATTCTGGGTATAAACCTACACAGATGTTTGCAAACTATTTTGCTTCAGCTTCTCTCATTGGTGCCCAGGATAAGGGGTTAGTACCGGGCGTTGATTGTCCTTCCCATGCCACATTTATACCCACTTCTCACGTTCTAGAATCCTCTGAAGAAGTAGTCACCTACAGAAACGCTTTCTGTGTGTTTGAATTCAATACAGGAATGCCTCTCCGAAGACATCATTCGTTCTCCTCTTCCCGCGGTTCATTTTATGAAGGAATGCCCAATGCTGTTCTTATACTTAGATCTATCGTCACAGTGGTTAATTACGACTACATTCTTGACTGTATTTTCTACCAAACCGGGGCCTTGGAAGTTAAAGTAGTTTCAACGGGCTACATACTTTCCACCCCTTTAACTGTCAACGCTGAAAAATTTGGAACACAAATAAATGACAATATCAATGGCAATCTTCACCAGCATATGTTCAGTTATAAGGTAGATATAGATATTGAAGGGTCACAGAACCGATACAGAACACTAGACGTCTCAACAACGGTGTCATCAAACCAATTTAATCCAGATCCAACTGCGAACATTATCCAAAAACAGTTCACTGTTTCTGAGAAAAAGACGGAAAGCGAAGCTGCATACAAGTTTAATTTTGATACTCCAAAGTATCACCTATTCTACAGCAATTTAAAAAGTAACAAATTTGGAGTTCCTAGATCGTATAGGCTATTAAGTCGAGGAATGAGTAAACAATTGTTACCAGAGACCGAAGGAAACGAACCGGCTGTTTCTTGGATGCGCTATCAAATGGTAGTCACAAAACGGAAAGAAAACGAAAGAATATCTAGTTCCATTTACAGTGGAATGGACGTAAAATCGCCTGTTGTCAATTTTGATAGCTTTTTAAAGGATAACGAAAATATTCTTGATCAGGTAAGCATGTAGAAGTATTCTTTATTTTGAATTTGTCACATACAAAGAAACCATCTTCAAATATTCAACTATGGTTCATGGGATTTCCTTTACTTGTCCAATGAGACTTTTATTTAGTTTTTAATGGACTCATCTTCTTCTTTCAGGATTTGGTAGCTTGGGTGAGTATGGGTGCCCAGATCATCCCCCATACAGAAGATCTTCCAGTGACCCATACACCGGGCATGGACCTTAGTTTCTTTCTCTTACCGTATAATTATTTTCCAGAAAATCCTGCAATGGGATCACCTGATTCCGTAAGGATAGAACCAACAATGTACAATAATCCTAGTAGTGGAGTTAAAGTATCCGGATTTGATAACGAGAACCTACAATGTAAACCCCCTGTAAACAATTATCAAGAGGCTGTAGAAGCTGATCCACGTATTTTGTTCGAAAAATAAGAAAAAAAGTGATCGATTTGTAATTTTAACTCCATTGTATAAAAGTGGTAATGACCGAAAACCTAGCCAGTGTTTGTAAATTTCAGGTAAAAACCTGATTAGTGTGCTATGTATGTCAAGTGAGAAATTTTCTTCATTTTGTAATGTTTTATGAGTGTGTGAATGAGGATATATAAGTATTTTAATGTTAAGGACAGATGATACAAACAAAAAAATGGATGCCTGGATTAGTGTATATTTTTTGGCCTAATTTCACTGAAAATGATGCAAATAATAAATTTCTAAAATATAAAGAATTTGTAAACCTTCTGTGATGTTCAAAATTCTGCCTCTCTGAAACCATCCTTATTAATCTATACAAATATTTTTCACTTCAAATCTCATTTTTGTGAAAATTTGAATAAAAAATTAAAAACTACACGGTGAAAGTTATTCATTTTACTCATTAACACATGATTCAGGTTGTTAATTTCATATCTTTTGACAAAAGTTTGTTTGTGTCATCTGTCCTTAAGAAACCCTTTGGAATATTGCATAACGTAGTGTCGAGGATAAGCCAAATATTTGTATACTGAGTATTTTTCCTATTTTACTACAAAACGAATGCAGAAAATTAACCAAATGGTGTGTGTTTATCCTAAATTGCATGAATGTCAGTATGACCTCTTTATGTACAATGTCCTCTAAATTAAGTACATGTATTTGGCTGTTGATGCATGGTAGTATTAAGTCAACTTTATTCAAACTTCTCATAAAGCTCACGGTAGAAAATTAGTCATTTTAGGTGATTTTAAACCGTCAAGTTAAATTATTTCATTTGATAAATGTATAAATTTATTGTACCGATAATTTTATATTGATCCATAGATATACATATGTATAATCACAAATTAAATGATGATGATCAGTGTATAAAAAGAAAGACAGAATATTCATTTTTGCTATTAAAACTTGGAAAAAAAATCTAGAACGATATTATTTTATTGTTTTAAAAAATCCAAGTAGTATTTTATCTTGTTACAGTGTGCGAGTGATTTTTTTTATGTACAAACATGTATATTCTGATATGCATATGACAAGAACCATATTTTCGATGAAGGCAGAGGTTGGAATATTTTAGAAGTTAGTTATCCTGAAATGAAACTTGGAGCGGAGCTCATCGGGAGAGTTTGTATAAGTTTTAGAATTATTGCAATGGTAGTTTCATATAGAACAATAGAACGGAATCTTAGAGTTTGGGCTCGCTTGAAAAACACCACACAGTGCCATGATTCGATATGTTATAAATATTAAAGTTATATTTGACTTCGGTAATATTTCATCAAAATAAAATTGAATAAAAAGGAAGGAAGTCATGATTTTCAAAGTAAATACATGTTGCAATACAAGATATTGTCAATTTGAGATAGAATACATTTTTTAAATTATTCAGGGAAGGTTTTATATTTTTTCTTCGTTTTTTTTTCCGGGTTTTTGTCCTCTGTTAAGAGGCATTGGATAAACAAAATCGTCTTATTTGAAGAATTTTAAAAATAACTGTAATAGAAATACTGTTCATTTAACCATAAATTTTTAAATAAAGCAAGAAATGGTCAGTGCTTTAAATGTACATGCAATAATTAAAAAAAAAATTGAAAAAAAACAAACAAACAAACAAAACTCATCAGTAAGTTTTAATCACGTTCTCTCCAAATTCTTTTCCAGAAGGTTTTGAAACTGTTTCTTAAAATATTTATGATCAATAGAACAGTTGGAGACATGCTTTGTTTAAAAATATTTTTTGAAATATATTTTATACTTACATGTATGTGTCTAATAAATGTCTTCATTATATGACTGATAAATATACCCTGTATTGTGTCAACAGACAGAATCCACTTGTATTAGAAATGTTCAGTTTGTAAGCTTCTTATGAAATAAAATTTAATATGTCAGAAATGAGTGAGCTATTTCGACATAAAACAAGATTTGACATGAATTTCTAAGAACCTTTATGAAATATCTTATAAAAAGTATTTTGTCCCAAGGTTACACTGGACATATGGTAGAGAATGTCCTCACACTTTTGAATAAAAACCTACTGATGTTTGTGAGTAACTAAATATTGGTTTATTTTGTAATTTCTTTAACCTCCTATAGTAAGATCTCGTCAGTTTTCTATATGAAAACTTTTTCTAGATTCTCTAATGAATATTAATTTAATACTAGAGCAAAGCTCGTTGCAAAGCAACGAGAAGGTCTTCCGTCCTGTTTGACCGGAAGTAACTTTCATTTTTACAAAAATGAGTAAAAGCGTCCTAAAATTGTTTAAATCCTCTAAATCTATGTTATCTAATGCAAAAATCAGCCATTTTTTGCTACTTCCAGTTTGACCGGAAGTGACGACGACGGACGGAAAATTAATTTTTATGCTCCCAGTCACAGATCTTACCCAGAAACTTGGCAAGAATGGCAAAATATACGTTTTCCGACTACTTCCGGTTTGGCCGGAAGTGACGTCACCGGACGTATTTTGACGACTTCAATAGATTGAGCTTGACATTTTAAACAACTTTGCTTCTTTGACGTATTAAGAATTCTCAATACTTTTTGAGATATAAAGGAAAAACTTTTAGCCCCCCTTAGCCCTTAATTTTAGGGGCCAGCCCTTTTTCCGAGATATCATTTGAAAGATCTTCTAATTTTGCACAAATTATGTTCTATATATTTTAACAAAATATGTTTAGTTTAGAAGATAAAAAGCAAAATATGTGTAATTTTTGGCTTTTTTAAGTGTTTTAATTTTTGACCCCTATATAGCGCCATTTTGAATAGAGAAATCAAAAAACAAAAACCGATGTGCACAACTTCAATCCTTATATTATCTATAATCAGTAGAATTTCTGCTCCAGCTTAAGCTGTCTCTGAGCCTTTGTCTGGAAACGAAAGCCTATAAATTTTCGTTTAAAGGGAAATAACTCAAAACCGGAAGTGAATTTTTGAAATTTTCGACTGCATTCTGATAGAGTTTAGTAACTTCTAGTACCTCTGAAAATTTGAGTGAAATCAAATGAGAAATGAGTGAGATATGAGGCTTCAAAGTTGGCATCTAGGAAGTAGAAGAAAAAAAAAGAATAATAATCTTTACCAACAGAATCCGTAGAAGGTCTTCCGTTGGAAACGGAAGACCTTAATAAGAATAACTCTTATAACCCTCTCACTTACTACATGTATGTTTAATAACATTGTGAATTTGTGACATATCGACATACAGGTAACTTGTACTGTTACCTTCGATCTGCTATGAGTAATTGTGGATATAATAAATTTCAAAGTAAACATAGCGCATAAGCTGCCCTCACCACGAAACCAAAGATTCTCAGAAAACTTAGCTTACAATTGACAAGTTTGTGCAATAATATAAAATTACAGTTTAGAGATGTACATAAATTCTTAATTTGAAACATATTATAATTACAAAAATAACATTTCATTTGTTGCAAAATAAATAAAAGAAGACAAACTGATATATAAAACAATTAAAATGCTCTTTTATTATCATTAATAAAATTATACAGAAAGAAAACAAAGAAAAATAAAAAAAAAATGCAAATTCTCCATAAAACAATTTAATATAAATCTGTAATAACAATTAATTTTTAATTGAAATAAACACGTTTTTTGGTAACAATTTCTCTTGGAGAAACCTTAACAATCTCATAATTATTCATTTAATATACCTTTTAAAAATGATTTATCCAGATGGCAAACTGTTGCCAACTTCTCGAATGGAAGCTTTTAATAAAAAAAAAAAAGCAAATATTTCTCACGGGCACGAGTTCTGCCGACACCCTGATAACAATTGCGCATGACAGAAGTTTCAGTTTAAACCTAAAGCATGTCAAGGTAAGACAGGGTTATCTCGTAGTTATTTTTTATTACCACATACACATCCTTACATTGGGTCTGGGAATTTTTCTTTACACAAAAATTATAGTTGATGTTATATGAACTGTTATAATTCCAAACTCATTTGCTCTCCCAAACTAAACACAGATTCTGCATTGTGTGGCCGTGGCATACTCATAAATTCTGCAATGAAAATTACTCGTGACGGTCTTTACTCCCTTGTCTGAAGGCAGCTACGTAGCAACCAAAGCGTGTCCACCACGGTGGCCTGATAATTCTGCATGTCTTCTTTTTGGTCTTGTAAGATGTTTGACCTATTTTGATTTCGGTATCATAAAAGCATGACCACACTCCATATGCAATTGTTGACTATTTGTGTCGTCTGCATATTATTTGAAGTACCATCAACCCATGCGATGTTTCGTAAATTTACTAACAACAAATAATGACTAGAATGTCAACGGCCGCAATTATTTCCGTCATTATTTATACATTTTCTGGTACTTAAAAGATTATTTAAGTGAGACAAAGTGTAATAGTCTTTATGAGGTGTTAGTGCTGAGGAATGGCTCAATTTTATAATGACAATATCTCACTTGTATTTTTATTTCTGAAGTGATATCAACTTTTGTATACTGAACGATTCCTTTTCCAGTCCTTGGTAAGTTATGGGACTAAAACTTTTTCTAGTGATATAATCAACTTGAGAAAGGAGCTATGATTTTAAAATTTCATGATAAACTACATATCATAAAAATATCAATATCATTGAAAAGGAAAAAAAATACATAAAGCTTCTAGTATCATATTCATAAAACAATTCATAAAGTAAAAATATCGAAGTAAAATAAATCATTGATCATAATTTTAATTTTCATACAACGAATTTTACCTACTGAAAAAGTTTGGGATAGATCTAGAGAGATTGCATTGCCCTGCAACTGTTACAAAATAAGCAGATACATCCAACACACCGACGATTTTATAGCTATGTCCGGGGGCATTCCAGAAAAAAAATTAAAATATCATGCTTAAATATTTCGACAATGATTGTACCCTTTTTCAAAGGTAACACGGTGTTCTGCCATCAGATGATGTTTCCATAATTATTTAAAAGCAAACATTTAAGAAGCTTGGGAAGAAAAAATATTGTTTAAGTGACAAAAAATTAAACCACTTTTAATACTGCAGTAAAAATAAATGGATCTTACGGACCCTAGAATCTCATCTCGGTACTGAAAATCATTTTAATTAGAAAATTCTATATTTCTAGAGCAATCGCCTTTTAGCAAACGAGAGTATTCACGCCCTTGAAACTACATTAAATAGACAGACTTACCAATATTCATCTATATTCTACATCCCCATTCAAAGGCAAAGAAATACGAAATAGAAAAGGAGTGGTCATTTTTGTTTTTAGACTAATAAATACTTTCTCATTTACAATACATAGTTATAAAAAATATATACTTAGAAATCAATACCATAAAAGACTAGATAAATTCAGAAAACGAGTCACTGGCGTAACAGAAATCAACAAGAATAGATACGGAATGGAATCTATTATGTAAAATACAGTTTTTATTAACAAATATGAATTTATTTTGCAGAAACTCAGATCCCAACATGGACAACAGTCCTGAATCTTTTCCTCTGGATAAAAAGAAAGAAGGCACCCCAGAATCTGATGACGATGAGAATAACCCAGATAAGTCAGAAAAACACAGACAGACAATCGGCCGATTCCGCATCATGTTGTTTGCAGCTGGGATAATTATTCTTCTATTGTTAATCATAGTAATAGTGGTGGGTGTCATGAAGAAGATGGAAAAAATAAAGCCTTGTTCTTCCGGTCAGACAGTTGATTTATCAGAGCCAGACAACCCCTCAATATTTCACGATTTGACTTCCAAGGAAGTCGAAGGAATGATGAAATTCTTATATGAACAAAAAGAGCTTAACTTGACAAGACCCCCTGATATCGAAGTGAGATCTTCGTACATTTTTACAGCGGAACTGCATCTTCCTGATAAAGCAGAGGTAACTTCTTTTCTTGATAGTCGCTCTGGACAGAAACCACCTCGACAGGCAAAGGTGATAATTTTTCGTGGAGATTTAGACAAACCGAAAATCATGGAAATAATCATAACTCCACTTCCAAATCCCACTCAATACACGATCTGGAAGGACAATATTCCTTTCCAGTACCGCCCTATTACTGGTCCAGATTATGGTGGTGCATTGATGAAAATCTCACAAGAGACAGAAGTAAAAGCACGCACATTGTTGCAGGAGAACTTTGGCGGATCATTATTTTTTTGTGGTACAAATTGTCTAACGTATAAATATGTAACAGTTATGTCATCTGCAGTCAGTGGAAGAGATCGACGCCTATATTGGTTCTGGGTGTCTCAGTTTGTAGAATTCTACATTCTCCATCCTGTCGACTTTGCCGTTTTAGTAGATATGGACGATCCAAATTATTCGATTGAGAAAGTATGGTTCAATGAACAAATATTTGACAGCTTGGACTCTCTTGTGAAAGAATACAATGAAGGCAAACTGGAAAAGAAGTATGTGCCTTTTCCGGATTTGTCTGAGACTCTGTTCTCCAGGCTGTACAGGAGAGGTACCGAGTTTCCACAAACATCACAGGGCCCACCAATTTCCATGCAACCAGATGGCCGTAGATACGTCGTAAAAGGACGGCACGTGAAATACATGAGCTGGGAATTTGACTTCAGAATGTCTAGTACTCACGGCCCACAACTCTATGATATTCGTTACCTAAATAAGAGAATTGTCTACGAACTTGCTTTACAAGAAATAGGTGTGTTTTATTCTGGATATGAACCTACCCAGATGTTTGCAAACTACTTTGATTCGTCTGTTCTTATTGGTCCCCAGGATAAGGGGTTAGTTCCAGGCGTTGATTGTCCTTCCCATGCCACATTTATACCCGCGTCTCACGTATTGGAATCCTCTGATAAATTAGTCACATACAAAAACGCCTTTTGTGTTTTCGAATTTAATACAGGAATGCCACTTCGAACACATCATTCTTCTTCTCCTTTCCAAGGTGCATTTTATGAAGGACTGTCAAATACTGTTCTTATACTGAGATCAATTCTTTCAGTGGTCAATTACAGCTATCTTCTGGACTTTATATTCTATCACACTGGAGCTATTGAAGTTAAGATAGTTTCAACAGGTTACATACTTGCCAGCCCATTTACACCAAACGCCTCTAACATTGGGGTACAGGTAAGCGACTATATCAAAGGCAACATACACCATCACATGTTTAGCTACAAAGTAGATATAGACATTGAGGGATCCCAGAACCGCTATAGGACTTTAGACATTTCCACGAAGGCTTTTGCGAATCGATTCAATCCAGACCCTAATGCAAAAATTGTCCAAGGACAATTTATTGTTTCTGAGAAGAAAACAGAAAGCGAAGCTGCATACAAGTTTAATTTTGATGCCCCAAAGTACCATTTGTTTTACAACAACTTAAAAAATAATAAGTTTGGTGTTCCAAGATCATATAGGTTGCTGAGTCGAGGTATGAGTAAACAACTGTTACCAGAAGGCGAGGGAAATGAACCGGCCATGGCCTGGATGCGTTATCAAATGTCTGTGACCAAACGAAAAGAAAGCGAACGAATATGTAGTTCCATTTATAGTGCATTGGATGCCAAAGCACCTGTTGTAAATTTTGATGACTATTTGAGAGACAATGAGAGTATTGTCGATGAGGTAAGATTTCCAGTTTTAAAGGGGTAATTTTTTTTTTAAATGTTTATAAAACGAAAAAGTCAATTTTATAATTATCTTAGAAGAAAAAGAACACAAACGTTTCAAAGCCATTTCACATTGTACTTCGAAATGAACACATAATGTAGCTGAAAAAAACCCCAGTAATCAAGTATTCTTGATAAGCGTTTGGACCTCGATCTTAAATTACCACAAAAAGCAATGAATTAATGATAAGCAAAAGATTCAAACACATTGATTTCTTTCTTGTTTCTTTTTTTTACAATAAGTTTTTAAATATATATATTTATTAAAAATCAAACGCTATCAATATGCTATAACTGATTTCTTTATGCAGGATTTGGTTGCCTGGGTGAGCTTGGGTGTTCAGCACATCCCCCATACAGAAGATCTTCCAGTGACACACACACCAGGCATGGACCTCAGTTTCTTCCTTTTACCATATAACTACTTTCAGGAAGATCCTGCAATGGGATCATGTGATTCAGTGAGGATAGAACCTAAAGTTTACAATAATCCTAGCAGTGGAGTAAAAGTGACTGGATTTAATCAACAGAAACTGAAATGTAAACCCCCTGTAAACAATTATCAAAAGACTATAGAGGCTGATCCTAGCATTTTATTTGAAACGTAAAGAAAATGGGTCAAAATATGTCCTATGAAACTTGGATTGAGAGATGTTTTGAACAGAGGAAGTTGTGGACATACCTTATTGAAAAATATGATAACCTTCAGAGATGTGTCGACTTTTAAGAGACTTGAACAATCAAACTTTGACAATATATTGAGGAAAAATAATGATTTTTACATTGTTATTTCACAAATTTGTATGTAGACAATATTTAACTTCTTGTCATGATCGTACAATTAGAAAAATCCACACAATACAGTGTGCAAACGAATGTCATCCAATTACAATGAAAAAAAATGTATGTCAGCATTTGAAATAAAGATTGTATTTGCTGACAAGGTCATTGTATCAAGCATAAATCCTGCAAAACTTTGAGACAAAAACTACACAGTAAGGGAATTTGACGATAAAAAAATATGACGTTTATCATAATTTTTTTTGTTTCTGGGTTACTTAAGTAATATGTTTTCTAAAAAAAAAAATATTCAAATATGAAAAAGATTTGCCTTTGGCATCTTTCACTTTAGTTTCTATGATTTATCGAGTCGACATATGAATAGCAGTTACTATCATCGTTATTTGATAATACGTACGTCGTTGATGTATCTAAACATCAGGCTGAAGACAACAGCAATTATTTTTCTCATGTTTAAGTTTTTGAATGCCTGGTAAATTTTAGATCTGCTTCAAATGAATACAAAAATAGGTCTGCAAAATAACGGGGTGCAATTGGTCAGCATTTGAAATAAAGATATGAATATTATTGCTCAAACATCCTTTTAAAATCACAAGGTCATTGTAAAAATAAAGCAAAATAATTTTGCATGTAACCAATAACAAAGTATGCAAATTTACAAGTTCCAATTTGTATTGAACACACGGCTGTCCATGATGACAAAAAACATGTACAAGAATTATAGATTGCAACAAACTTGACAGAAACCCACCCACTGGTGAATGAAATACATTTGTATATCATTTTACAAAAACCACATGTGCAGGTTTAGTTACCTTCAATGAAACCAAGAAGAATTAAAGGAATGAACGTGGTTGAGCATCCTTTTGAACAAAGAACATGTTTATTAAAGTATTTTTATTCAACGTAAATAAAAGCATATGATGATTTTTTATGGATTAATAAACTGATTTTATTTCTGCATACTGATACATAATAATATAATTATTGAACTTATTGAACAATTTGATTGATTGATTGATTGTATACTGTTTAACGTCCCTCTCCAGAATATTTCACTGATATGGAGACGTCACCATTGCCAGTGAAGGGCTGCAAATTTAGGCCTATGCTCGGCACTTACGGCCTTTGAGCAGGGAGGGATCTTTATCGTGCCACGTCTGCTGTGACACGGGGCCTCGGTTTATACGGTCTCATCCGAAGGACTGCCCCATTTAGTCGCCTTTTACGACGAGCAAGGGGGTACTGAGGACCTATTCTAACCCGGACCCCCACGGGGCTGAACAATTTGAAGAAATATACATATCTACTAATACACATAATTATGTAGATTTCATACACATACGTGAGTTGATTATGTAATTAGCGTATTATGACAGGCTCTCATAATCTGTTAATATCTACATCTTTGTAAAGATTGTTTGTTTGAGCAAAGTTTGCAAAAAATTAAGAGTTTTCAAAGAAATCTTCTTCAATTCTTTTCTTATTTATATTTATTCTTAATAAAGACTCTCAAAGACATCAAAAATGAAAAATAATACAAAGGGTTACCTCTCTTTGTAAGAGGTCCATCTTTCATTTTCCTGTTGAAAATAAGCAACCGCATCTTTCACTAGATTTAACAAATAAAACATATTGTCTTAACTACAGTTTATGAGGATGCGCGCAAATAATTCTTTAAAAATAATATTTGTAGATTTTTTTCCGATATTTTTTAGGGATCAATTAATTATTTTTGGTTTCATAAATGAGCAATAAAAGAAAAGGAGCCAGTATTTGAGATAAAAATGATCAACTGTATTCAATAACATTGCCTGTAATCAATAGTGGTTCTTCTATATATCTGTACATTAATATTTAATTATATGATATTGCAATGAAAAGTTAGTTATCATCCAGATAATAACTCTCAACATTGCACAGGAAACGGCATTCATGATTAAAAGAGATGTCATGGTGCAACCTTAATCGCTGCATTTACAACAGAATGAAATTTGATGAGAACTTGAAAAATATATTCAATAAAAAATATATGCAGAATCACGCAATTAATTTCGGTACAATCGATGTTTTTTAAAGAAGCTATAAATCGAAAGTTGAATGATCAGCCAAATCAAAACAAATGGCTAGTTTTATTTTAAAAAACATTGTCCTTCAAAAAGAAATCATGTCAACTATATTGATTGATTGTATGTTGTTTAACGTCCCTCTTGATATTTTTTTTTACTCATATGGAGACATCATGTCAATTAGACACCCGGGTAAGAATTAACTGTCATTTCGGAAGAAGAGCATATTTGTTATTATTTATTATCTTTTAAATTTTAGTTTAGATAAAAGATGTCAACAACTTAAACCTTAATACGAGTTTGATTAAGCGTCTGGCGTAATTAGAATTTATCGCTCCTATCTCTAATAACTATCAGTGGATAGAGCAGGTAAAATAAGATATTTACCATTTATCACATGACATACTGTAGGTCTATCAGCTGGTTTGCATGATCCACCGTGGAGTATTTTTTACACAATTTCTGTTACCAGAAATTGATTTTTTTCATATCGAACATTATTGTTTGCATTAAGAAAGTATATGTGAATTGCTGATTTAATATATCTCATTTCTCTCTCTAAAAACATAAAGAAAAAATCGGTATCACAAATTGATGAAACAAGAATATAGGCAGTTTTGATTCGTTTGAAGTCATCTTTTCGCAAATTATATAATCGATACAATGATCTTTTCAGCAAATGCACTCAATCTTTTGAGTCCACGGCTGACTTTTTCATACTTGTTAGAACATTATTTACACACTGAATTGTCGACGTTTTTGGTCATTTTTTCGTCCCGATCATGACAAGGAGCAAACGGCTGCTGTGACCGATTGGCAGGGGATGCTCACACTTCAATGGCACCTGATCCTGGAGGTCCGTGTTTGCTCTGCTCCTGAATTGTATTGTTTAATGAGATTTTGACCTTGAAAACTGTTTTTGTCTCTTTAAATTTCATTTCAGAAAATCGGGGAGGGGGTTACATACCCTTTTTAAAATCAAAAATTGATTTTAAAATTAAATATTTGTAAAGAGATATTTCTAATTGTTTTATTAATATCTTTTATCTTATCAGAAAATAAATCAAGATACTTGAACGGCTTGTCATAGATTTGAAGGCAAAGATAAAGATACAATGAGACGAAGAAGTCGTGAAAGGTAATTCTGCCTAATTATTTATGCATTTAATTTTTGTCTGGATACAGAACAATTCAAAATCATTCATAGAGATTCATTTTGAGAATATGGTCAGATGTCTAATGGTAAAGCCAAGAAAAGAAGTTTTCAAATGCAAAATGGTGTATTGTAACGCTCTAAAAACCTAGTGCCATCCTTTCCAAACTCTTAAATTTTCTCAAGGAAAGGCAAATAATTTTTGAAATCGAAGCTAAGATTTACGAATAATTTTTTTTTCGTATCAACGGTGCATCTTTGGATGCCAAGGTACATGTATCTCCTCCTTTGCTTTTCATTGTTATGAAGAGAGCGCAAATATATCTGATAATAAAATACAATGCAATATGCTCTTTTATTTGGTTTCCTGTAAAAGACTTCACGCCTAAAAAGTTTTTTTTTATTTTAGTGTTCTTTAACACGTCAAGAATACAAGAAACTTAGAGGCAATAACCCTTTACTCGATAAGGCCATGTAGAGAATTATAACTATTAACTATTAACATTTTTGTAGTATTTCAGCCACATCTCTTATGATTAACATCTTTATGATCAATTTTATTCGTAACTGCCAACAAGATTTTCCTCAATAATTTAATTAGACTCACTCTATATACTCATCGAATCTATGCCTATAATGTGCATTACATTTAAAATGCCGTCATTACGATTAAAGAAAGTTCTTCCAACTACTAGCTAGTATACTAGGAAAAAAATCGTTATAATGAAATAAGGAGTTATTTTGAGACCCATAGGCACCATTACTCACTATGAAATTTCTGCAAATAGAAACCCGAAGCAAGAAATAAATTAAATGTTGCAACAATATCTCTAACCTTAAACTTATACACCGTTGTCATATGGCATTATTTATTGATCTTGGCAAAAAACAAGATTTGTTATCAGTTGTGCAGTTAAGTTTATATAGGTCAATCAAATAGCAATGCAACAAAAGAAAACAAGATAAAATGATTTAGTCGAAATCAAATGTATCTTTTTAGAAATATTGCAAGGGTAGAGATACTGGTTGCAATATTTTCGCATAAACCTTTCGAAGGATTTACAAAATAAGAATAGGATCTGCTTTAATATGATAGAGGCAGCCGTAGACCAAGACCCACAAAGCCTTTATTTGAAAAAAAATATGGTCGGGGAAAAAATTCTGTTGCCCATCTTGTTACGCAATGTCATGCCAGCAATGCACTATATTTGAGAAATTACGTACAACGTTTTAAATATAATGCTTTTTTTTTTTGGTATTTCACATTACTAAAATTACTTCGATTTGAATAATAATATTATAGTGCGTTATCATTATAACTAACATTAGTTGCTAACTCCCCAGCTTCCAGCAAATAAGCTGAAAATGTTCAAATTTTAAAAGCATGAGAACACAGAGATAGCAATAGATTACCCGAGTGGCTCATTCATCTCAATCAAGGGTCTTCTAAATAACAGTAGAGATCGTGTGACTCAGGAGAGCATTTTGACCCAAAAGCTTCTCGCTTTACAAATATTTTTTCTGTCTTTTAGGAACACAGATTCCGAAGGGGACAATAATCAAAAATTAATTTCTCCTGACAAAGGGAACGAGGACAAATCAGAGACGCACAATGAAGGAAAGTCTGAGAAACACAGACGGACAATCGGTCGATTCCGCATCATGGTGTTTGCAGCAGGAATATTGATACTCCTCCTGTTAATCATAGTCATAGTGGTGGGAGTCATGAAGAAAATTGAGAATATTCCTCCTTGTCCATCAGGCCAGACTGTTGATCTATCGGAGCCAAATAATCCTTCAATATTTAATGATTTAACTTCCAAAGAAGTTAAAGGATTGATGGAATTCCTGTATAGACAAAAAGATTTCAATTTAACAAAACCTGAAAAAGCCGAAGTAAGATCGTCTTACATATATACGGCAGAACTGCATTTACCTGACAAAGCAGAGGTAACTTCTTTTCTTGATAGTCGCTCTGGACAGAAACCACCGAGACAGGCTCGAGTCATAATATTTCGGGGAGACTTACTCAAACCGAAAATCATGGAGATAATCGTCACGCCACTTCCTAATCCCACGCACTTCACGATCTGGAAGGATGATATTCCTTTCCATTATCGTCCTATTACTGGTCCAGATTATGGTGGTGCTATAGAAAGTATCACACAGGTTACTGATCAGAAGGCACGCATCAACTTTTGCAGGAGAGCTTTGGTGGGTCACTTCTTAATTGCGGAGAAACTTGTCTTACATATAAATATATATCAATGATGTCATCTGCTGTTAGTGGAAGAGAACGACGTCTTTACTGGTTTTGGATGTCTCAGTTCGTGGAATTCTACATTCTCCATCCTATTGATTTTGCTGTTTTAGTCGATATGGACGATCCAAATTATTCGATTGAAAAAGTTTGGTACAATGAGCATTCGTATGATACACTTGATTCTCTTGTTCAACAATATAATGAAAATAAATTGCAGAAGAAACAAATATTATTTCCCAAGTTGTCCGAGACTCTGTTCTCCAGAATATACAGGCGAGGTACAGAGTTCCCGAAAACATCACAACGTCCACCAATTTCTATCGAACCAGATGGTCGAAGATATAGTATAGAAGGTCAGCATGTGAAATACATGAACTGGGAATTCGACTTTAGAATGTCCACTACTCGCGGCCCACAGTTATACGACATCCGTTTTCAGGACAAAAGAATTGTCTACGAACTTGCTTTACAAGAAATAAGTGTGTTTTACTCCGGATATAAACCAACCCAGATGTTTGCAAATTACTTTGATTCGACGGCTTTGATGGGTCCCCAAGATAAAGGTTTAGTCCCAGGCGTTGACTGTCCCTCCCATGCCACATATATACCCGCTTCTCATGTAATGGAATCATCTGAAAAGTTAATCACTTATAAAAACTCTTTTTGTGTGTTTGAAATCAATACAGGAATGCCTCTTCGAACACATCATTCTTTCTCTCCCTTCCACGGTGCATTTTATGAAGGACTGCCGAATACTATTCTCACGCTGAGATCAATTCTTACAGTAATCAACTACAGCTACTTTCTTGATTTTATATTTTATCAAACTGGAGCCATGGAAGTTAAAGTAGTGTCAACAGGTTACATACTTGCCACCCCGTTTTCCGCCCACGCTGCCAATTATGGAGTACAGGTGAGTGACAACATCAACGGTAACCTACATCATCATATGTTTGGCTATAAAGTAGATATAGACATTGAGGGGTCCCACAACCGCTATAGAACTTTGGACATCTCCACAAATACATCTCCTAACCGATTCAATCCAGACCCTAACGCAAAAATTGTTCAAGGCCAGTTCGAAGTTTCTGAGAAGAAAACAGAAGGTGAAGCTGCATTCAAGTTTAATTTTGATACTCCAAAGTACCACTTGTTCTACAACAACCTGGAAAGAAATAAGTTTGGCGTGCCTAGATCGTATAGGCTATTCAGTCGAGGAATGAGTAAACAATTGTTACCGGAAGGCAAGGGAAATGAACCGGCCATGGCCTGGATGCGTTATCAAATGGCAGTAACCAAACGGAAAGAAAGCGAAAGAATATGTAGTTCCGTATATAGTGATTTGGATGCCAAATCCCCAGTTGTCAATTTTGAAGACTTCTTGAGAGACAATGAAGATATTGTAGATGAGGTAAGCTTTTATGTCAACTATAAAGCATTTTAGCAGGAAACAGTGATAACATATAATACCTTAGAATATAATCACAACAGTTTACATGTCAATAAAATGAAACGAAACATTGCATTTGATATGCTTATTCTGTCTTCAAAATCATTTCTTTATCTAATGTCTTTCAAATCTGATGGAGATATATTACCTTTTTCATATTGTCTATCATCGTAAGACCATTACATGGGCATTCTCTGTGTTATGTTGTTGTTTCCGACCCTATATGGTGTGCTCTGGTTATTCATTTCAGGATTTGGTAGCTTGGGTGAGTATGGGTGTCCAACACATCCCTCATACAGAAGATCTCCCTGTAACACACACACCAGGAATGGACCTCAGCTTTTTCCTGTTACCGTATAATTATTTCCCAGAAGACCCTGCGATGGGATCACGTGATTCCGTAAGGATAGAACCAAACATTTACAATGATCCGAGCAGTGGAGTAAAAGTGACTGGATTTGACAAAGAAGATCTGCAATGCAAACCTCCTGTAAACAATTTTCAAGAGGTTGTTGAATCTGATCCGGGTATATTGTTTGAAAGTTCTGATGGACAATCCACAGCAATATAGAGGGAAATATGCTGCACATGAACATTAGTAGCAGTTGATTTGTAAAGGAGCTTGTAAATGAAATGATTATTATGGAAGTTTTGGTTAATGCTTTATTGTGTGCAATATGTTTAGTCTATCGTTCAACGTTATATGTGTTTATTTCAATCTATGTTTATAATGTGATGATTAGAATCATTTAATAAATAGTGCATTTAAATATGTACATAAGATTAATTATCGCCGAAATATGAGTGAAATATTGCCGACTCGGCTATAATTAAACAATACCGGTATACAATTAATCATATATTATGTTTGTGAGCACAGGAAATTATACACATCGAATGGATGAAGATCAGTATTAAAAATAGTTTTTTTTGTAAAAACTTTGAGGGAATAGTTCCTTTCAAGGATTTTTTTTAAAGTCATTTCATTATTATTCTGTTAAAATGTTTCCTATAAAAAGTTAGGAAGTAAATTACATTTTTATATCGGGCCATCTATGAAAATTGCTTGATTGCCTCTTCTTGCCATCCGCCTAAAATGTACAGTACTGATTAAAAACTTTTTAACCCCGGAAAGAAATAATTTTTTTATGCTTTTTTGTGATACTTTTTGAAAATTCATCACTGGTGTTGAAATCTTTCAGAGAAAAATCCCACTTACATTTACCTACCAATCCAGTCGGGAGAGGACAAACAAACATTATATTCAAGTTAGACTAGTTTCAATTTTTTGTCAAGCAAAGCTATACCGCTGGCTTAAAAGCCCGCAATCCATCTATAAGATGAACGCCAATTTTGATTCCTTTTAATATGATTGTTTGGATATTTAAGTTCTGCAAATCTATTACCTGCAGCATAAAATGTGCTTCACAACCTTTAAATTTTATGATATAAATCAGTATAGATAGTAAAAAAAAAAAAAGAATTATTTGTAAGATGAACACAAATTAAAATTCTCCAAATAACCCAAGAACGTTGGGTATTACATGAGATCTTCAATCCTACTCTTTGGTCAGTATTTAAGTCAATATATGAGTAATATAGAGTTAAACTACAAAGCAATCGTAAAATGCTAAATTAACACTTCTTAACATAAAAACTCTAGTTCCCATATGAGAAGGATATGAGGATTGGCGAGTAATATCCACAGTTCTTTGGTGCTCTGAAGTTCGCCTTCTTGGTTAAACTGTACTTAAGACTTTTTTTTAAAGACTGAAATGTCATAAGAGTTTTTGAAACGCTGGCACATACATGTATTTTAATTCTATTTTTTATTTTTAAATATGGTTTTCAATTTCGATCTGTCATTTCTTCTCAATCTGGAAACAAACACGCATCTGAACTGGCAGTGAGCAGTGAGCTCGCTAAATGATATCCCCGCCTTCCATACCATTATAATGGCAAAGTTCATGTTTTGCTCTGGAAGACCCGAAATAAGTGTCAGATCAAAAGGTAAAGTATCATTAAATTTTATTCAGTGGTATAGGAGGAGTTGCAGTTAAGAGATGGGTAACCTTCATTCAATATTGTAGAAAAAATGACAGCGTCAATATTTTGGTATTGGAAACCCAAAATATGTTTCGGATCAAAAAGTAAAATAGGAGGTGCAAAATGGCATTCATAACAAACAAACATGTATTTGCATAACAATTTATATTACGAAAATTGCAAAGGGAAATATATTTATTCAAAATAACCAAAACGGCTCGTCATAGTTTCAAAGGTGAAGAATTAGAAACAATGAGGCGCCGAAGTCGTGAAAGGTAAATTTGTGCAATACTAATTAATGTGTTTCACCTTTACCTGAGGCATTAAAGGTAAAACATTAGGAAACTTTAATTAAGAATGCCTTTTGATAATAAAAGAAGGTAAACAAAACAGGATTAAGGATTGTGAAAAGGATCCATTGTAATGTGCATCCAAAACTCCGTTATTTTTATGGAAAATCGTTTCTTTTCAAGTTTTAAGGACAAATATACTTTAGTGTAAATAGTGCATCTTTGGATACCCACGTGATCTTGTCTTTAATTCTCATCATTGCGATGGGTTAATGACAAGGTTAATGGTAAATTTGGTAAAGCCTTTTTTACGGAATTCCATTTAAATATAATTAACAATATAAAAAAATTATATAATGTGGTGTGTTTATATCTAACATTAAATGAACAAAATATCATTTCAAAATTCTTTACCATTTTTTAATTCATGAATATATGATTTTATAATTTTATTAATTAGTTACTGTTTTATTTATTTATTTTCAATTCCTTACACATATTACACAAGCCAACAAAAATGACCGACTTTGAAGCCATAAAACTTCCCTCGGCAAATTAAGGATAAAACACACCGTCTTACTTGCAGATGAATAATTCTTTTGGCTGAAGGGGGTCGACTTGATAGGACTATGTGAAGAAGTTTAAATATTTTTGTTAAATATTTTTCGCCTTGTGCAGTTACCCCAATTTTAAGCTATATCTCTCACGATTAACCCTCTTATCATTGATTTTATTACCGCCAACGAGATCTACCTCAATATTTGGGAGATATAACTAGGCAGAGAGTTTATCTCACTTTATTTACCCATTGAATCACCGGCGTTTTATATACTTACCCATAAGACTTTACATCTGTGAACATGCGCATTACATAATTGAACTTTGAGACTCTTTTTCACAACAAGGTAAGGCACTATATAAAGTTTTCTAATTTAACGTTGATTTATAATTTAGTTTATGATTCTTTTTTGCGTGCACACGAAAACGGGTGCCATTTTAAATTTTCAGATTGATCTGTCTCACATATCTGCATCGTTGTGTTATTTCTGCACCGAAAAATAACGTTAATTACAGCAATATAATAAAGTCCATGCAATGTTTGCACGTTTCAGTTCTCTTATAGCCTATTTACTTCCACCACGTAAACTTCTTACTTTTACTACTTTTAACGACAACTTTGCTGACATTATCAAAACAGCTGCCCATGGTAGACACCATGGCTGATTAACATCCAATATCATGTTCATTTCAGCTGAAGAAAAGTTAGTATATATTTGCACTTATCGAACTGAAGACAAGCATGACAAATTGGTCGTTGCACTTTTGCACAATTAAACATCATAAAAAAAAATACAAGGTGATGTTTGCTACATGGGTGTTAACTTAATAAGGGAGAATGTTTACATATAACGATAATTTACGATGAACTAGGTGTTTAGATCTTCAATGATCTATGAAATGTTTGTTTCTTTGTAATTAATTTACAGCATCGATGAATATTCCAGTTAGGCGTTTACTACATGCATATACTAAACATGTATTTGCCTGTGATCAATATTTGATTTACACCATGATACTTTTACAAAGCCTTATGTAAATATGCTTTAGTCTTCAAATAATTGTCTTAACCATGTGGAAACGTTGTCATTTCAAGTTGAGAACCACGTATAATAAACATTAGAAATGACTTAATAAACAAGGAACCCCAGACTTAAATAATGCTATATAATGCGTGTTCAAATCCTCTTTTCGGAAAATAACGCGTCTAAAAAAAGTTCTTTTTGGTGATATATCTTTTGGTTTTTATAAGGGCGCTTCCCTGGACACTTTTTGTAATACTTCATAAAAGTTAATATAACTCGGCTCTTCGATGTTAGTGTAAAAAAAATTATCTATAATATTTATAATTATTAACTTATTGGATCCCCAAACTTCTTATATTTGTAATTTGATCCATAAAGTACGGAAGCCCATTTAGGACCTTCATGGCTTAGGAAATATTTTTGAATTCGTTATAACGATTTTTAGAATTTGTTATAACGAATTTAATTTGTTATAACAGATTTCAAGAATTTGGTTATAACGAATTCAACAAATCTTTAATAACAGATTAAATTCGTTATAACGAATTCAATAAATCTGTAATAACAAATTAAATTCGTTATAACGAATTCAATGAATCTGTTATAACAAATTACATTCGTTATAACGAATTCTAAAAATCATTATAACGAATTCAAAAATATTTTTTGATAGGTCCTAAATGGACTTCCGTAATAAAGAAATCGAAATACATCTTTAAAAATTCATTCGATATAAAGTATTGTACAAGTAAAATGTATTTTGAATTAAACTTTATTATGAGGTACAACGCCAAAACATTACAGAAAACTTAACACGACTATTTCTCACATAGTTATTCACTGAACCAGTTCTTGATTCTGAGCATCTCGAATGACGACTAAATTGCTTCTGAACAATGTTAAATTGTTCATCGTTATAGCAGCAAAGTTTACATAAAACATTCTATCAGCTATCTGAGCATATAAAAAATTTAAGGGGTTTTACGTTACGATTATTTGAAAAGATAAGTTTTTTTATCTTTAAAATTTATTTTTAAAGTATTCCTTATCTATATGCACTACTCTAACTGTTTTCCATGGTGTAAAGATAACAGCAGGGAAATAAATTGGATTTAATCCGATAAACTTAGAAGAAATGTTCTAAAACCTAGTCTAATGTCTTAGTTTTTTGAGAAGACGTGCATTCATGTAATCCAATTTTATGAGACCTACATACATGTAACCCCCAATTCAGTGATTGTAGCAATAATAATGTGTACATTACAATAATTTTCCTATAAAAACTCCTTATGTATTAAATTCTGCGTCAACAAGCATTATGCTGCAACGTTATACTAAAAACGTTTAGTGATGATAATACGAAGAGTTCTACCTGTTTATTTCTTTTATCTTTTTTGTATCTGACCAGTAATTAAAATCAGTTTTGTTAAATGAACATTTGCTGGAGAGAAAAAAGACTACTGACATGTTTCTCTTTCATAAATCATATCTATGTAAGTTTTCATTAGGTTCTGTCAAACACAGGGGCAGGAAAAGGGAACTTCTATCGTATACATGTATATGAAAGTTTGCTCCTATAATGACCCCTTGAGACCATGATGAGAGTAACTTGAGAACCAAACTTTTTGAGAATTAAAGAGGGTGAAAATCTTTTATTAAAATCGTTTGAAGAACAGTTTAATCAAGGTTACTCGGGCGAACGTTGTGGCCAATGAACCTCTTCATTTTAAAATATGTTTTCTTTTCTTGCAGATACTCAGATTCCGACATGGACGACAATCACGAAGCTGATCCTCTGGACAAAAAGAAAGAGGACAAACAAGAGTCTTATAATGAAGAAAAGTCTGAGAAACACAGACGGACGATCGGGCGATTCCGCATCATGGTGTTTGCAGCTGGAATAATAATACTCCTCCTGTTAATCATAGTTATAGTGGTGGGTGTCATGAAGAAATTTGAGAAGATTCCTCCTTGCTCGTCAGGCCAGACCGTTGATCTATCAGAGCCGAATAACCCGACAATGTTTCATGATTTAACTTCCAAAGAAGTGGAAGGATTGATGGAATTTCTTTATAGGCAAAAAGATCTAAATTTGACAAGACCCGCAAAAGCCAAAGTAAAATCATCCTACATATTTACAGCAGAACTTCATTTACCAGAAAAAGCAGACGCAATTTCCTACCTTGATAGTGGTTCTGGACAAAAGCCACCTAGAGAGGCGAGGGTCATAATATTTCGGGGAGACCTACTCATAACCAAAATAATGGAGATAGTCGTAACTCCACTTCCTAATCCCACGCACTTCACGATCTGGAAGGATGACATTCCTTTCCAGTATCGGCCTATTACTGGTCCAGATTATGGTGGTGCTATAGAAAGAATCACACAGGTCACTGATCAGAAGGCGCGCCAACTTTTGCAGGAGAGCTTTGGTGGGTCACTTCTCAATTGCGGTGAAACTTGTCTTACTTATAAATATGTCTCACTTATGTCTTCTGCTGTCAGTGGTCGAGATCGACGTCTTTACTGGTTCTGGATGTCTCAGTTCGTAGAATTCTACATTCTCCATCCTATTGACTTTGCTGTTCTGGTCGACATGGACGATCCAAATTATTCGATTGAAAAAGTATGGTACAATGAACATACTTTTGACTCCCTCGACTCTCTTGTTAAACAATACAATGAGGACAAATTGCAAAAGAAACACTTACTTTTCCCTGAATTGTCCGAGACTCTGTTCTCCAGATTATACAGGCGAGGTACAGAGTTCCCAAAAACATCACAGCGTCCACCTATTTCTATCGAGCCAGATGGTCGAAGATACAGTGTAAAAGGTCAACATGTGAAATACATGAACTGGGAATTTGATTTCAGAATGTCTAGTACTCGGGGCCCACAGCTCTATGACATCCGTTTTCAAAACAACAGAATTGTCTACGAACTAGCTTTACAAGAAATAAGTGTATTTTACTCCGGGTATAAACCAACACAGATGTTTGCAAATTATTTTGATTCGACCGCTTTGATTGGTCCCCAAGATAAAGGGTTAGTCCCAGGCGTTGACTGTCCCTCTCATGCCACTTATATGCCTGCTTCCCACGTATTGGAATCCTCTGAGAAGGTAATCACATACAAAAACTCCTTTTGTGTGTTTGAAATTAATACAGGAATGCCTCTTCGAACACACCATTCTTTCTCTCCTTTCCATGGTGCATTTTATGAAGGACTGCCAAATACTATTCTTGTACTCAGGTCAATCCTTACAGTGGTAAATTATAGCTATCTTCTGGACTTTATATTCTATCACACCGGAGCCATGGAAGTTAAAATTGTTTCAACAGGTTACATACTTTCCACACCGTTTACCGCCAACGCTGCAAATTTTGGAGTACAGGTCAGTGACGACATCAACGGTAACTTGCATCATCATATGTTTAGCTATAAAGTAGATATAGACATCGAAGGACCCCAGAACCGCTATAGAACTCTAGACATTTCCACAACGGCATCTCCCAACCGATTCAATCCAGACCCTAATGCAAAAATTGTTCAAGGCCAGTTCCAGGTTTCTGAGAAGAGAACGGAAAGCGAAGCTGCATACAAGTTTAATTTTGATACCCCAAAGTACCACTTGTTTTATAGCAACCTAAAGAGCAATAAGTTCAACGTACCAAGATCGTATAGGCTACTGAGTAGAGGAATGAGTAAACAATTGTTACCAGAAGGCGAAGGGAATGAACCGGCTATGGCCTGGATGCGTTATCAAATGGCAGTCACCAAACGAAAAGAAAACGAAAGAATATGCAGTTCGATTTACAGTGGGTTGGACGCCAAATCCCCAGTTGTCAATTTTGATGACTTTTTGAAAGACGATGAAAATATTGTAGATGAGGTGAGTTTATATTCTAAAGAAGTATTAGTTATTCTTTAGAATATTCATGACAGCAAATAAGATACTTAATCGGTCAACAACTTGAAAATCAGTTATTTTAAAGCACTGAGTAAATTTATTCTATATGGAACATACTATAGTATTATATATGTCTATAGAGTACATACCGTTCTTTTTCAGGATCTGGTTGCTTGGGTGAGTATGGGTGTCCAGCACATCCCCCACACAGAAGATCTTCCGGTTACTCACACACCAGGAATGGACCTCAGTTTCTTTTTGTTACCGTATAATTATTTCCCAGAAGACCCTGCGATGGGATCACGTGATTCCGTAAGGATAGAACCAAAAATTTACAATAATCCCAGTAGTGGTGTAAAAGTGACTGGATTTGATAAAGAGGATCTACAATGTAAACCTCCTGTAAACAATTATCAACAAGCTGTAGAAGCTGACCCAGGTATTTTGTTTGAAAGTTCCGATGGACAATCCACATCAATATAGATAGACTCATTGTACATATACATCAGTGTTCAATCAGTGTTCAGTTGAAGACTGGATTTGTAAAAAGAGCTTGTGAATGAAATGGTTTGGATGCAAGTTTTTGACTACGTACGGTTGTGTGAATCATGTTTAGAATATCATCCAAAGTTCCATATGTTTATTTCAATGTGTGTATGTAATGCAATTTTCGCGATATAGCAATTCATAGTATTTACAGTATTTTATACTTTATTTTATTTTATATCTATGTAGTTTTGATTTAAAGGAACATTTTTAGACCTAAAATAGCTGTTTTACCTCCAAACGTAAGTAGTATTATAATTAATAAAACATTATTTTTGAATGGTGGACTTATTTATATTGCAGTCTGAACTAATACCATCGATGGCTGTATAATGTATATCTATTAGTTTATGCATATAGATAGTTTCATATATTCTGAACGATTGAAGTGTGTTTACAGGGATTTTGCATCATTTTTACTATCATATATATCAGTACATATTGTAAAATATCTATGCATTTTTCTGCGATTTTTGATAAATAATAAATAATTTAATATTGCTTCTGCGTTCTGTCACATGCTCACTTGCTACATCCTTTTCAATCCTGCCGTGAGGGACATAGACCAAGACCACCGACAATACCCTGATACCTCTCCCTGTCTTGGGTTACCATTTCCGGTTACTTTCATTTGCATCTTCTCCATCTTTACTACCACACACCTTTGCCGGATGTATATTTCATTTTTTTCAGGTGGCACAACAAGACTGTATGCTTGATAATTGACAAAGTTCTCAATTTTTCACTGTGTGACCGATCCATTGCCATCTCCTTTAATTTTCATTTTAATCAGTACTTCTTAACTTCTATGAAACTTTTGGATAAATCATTTTGATTGTTTTCCGTGTTTAGGATCCATAGAATATTTGAGAGCCTTACAGTTCTTAGTATAATATTTTTTTCTTCCGTTTTCTGCTCATCATTATAAGTGCTGTTTAAGCTTTTCCTTTTCTGATTTTGATATCAATTCAGGGTTCTGTGCCATTTGCTTCACTGTCTACGTTTTGGAAGATGTTACTTTCTGTCGTATTTTTGTACCCCTCGCTTGAAAAGTGGGAGGGGATATAGTAATCGGTATGTCCGTCCGTCCGTCCGTCCGTCTTACCGTCCGTCCATCTGTCTGTTACGCTTTGGGGTACCCATCTCTTATCCGCAACTCCTCTTATACCGCTGAATGAAATTTGATGAGACTTTCACAAAATCTTTGTTATATAATGCTAAAATATCAGCAGTCTCGTTTAAAGTCATCATTTCGTAAGTTCTATGGTCGATACAATGACCTTGTCAGCAAATACAAATTATCATTGAGTCAAATGCTGACTGACGTTTTTCATACCAATTGTTAGTCCATTATTTCTACACTGAATTGACGACGAATTTTTTCCGTTATTTCCTGATCATGACAAGGAGCACACGGCGGGTGTGACCGGTCGGCAGGGGGTGCTTACTCCTCTATGGCACCTGATCCCACCTCTGATGTTTCGGAGGTCCGTGTTTGCTCTGCTCCTATTTTGTATGTTTAATGGACTTTGAGATTGAATACTGTTCGTTATCTCCATATACTTATTGTGCAACTCTTATTTTACTTTTTGATCGGACACACATTTTGGGTTTTCCAGAGCAAAACATTGACACTGCCATTTTTTATATAGTATTGAAGGGTACCGATCTCTTATCCGCAACTCCTCCAATACCACTAGACAAAATTTAATGATACTTCCACAGATTCTTTTTTACATGATGCCATTGTGCACCTCCTATTTTACTTTTTGATCTGACACTTATTTCGGGTCTCCAAGAGAAGGACTTTGTCATTATAATCATATGGGAGGCGGGGGTATCATTTAGTGAGCTCACTGCTCACAGTACCTCTAGTTTTTATACAAAAAAGTAACACAAGAAAAGACAATATCAGAATCCCAATTCAACTTTTCTCCAAGACTGTTAAAAGTTCATCTACTTGGTCCAGTCACAAATGCATCAGAGACCTCCTTTCTCGCTAGTTTTCAAATGAACTAAGAAACACTGTATTTATTCATTGTTGAAACAATTTCAAAGGACTAGGTCATCCTCTTTGATACTTTAATAATAATTCCAAATAATTTATATGAAAGAGAAGAGTCATATATTAGTAAAATATGAATAGAGTAGTTCATGCAGTCTGGGTTTTGACCTTTTTTCAAAACATTAAATGAAACAGAAAATTTTTAAATCATTTTTTTAATTAAATTACAACAAATTGACTAAGTTCATTTTGATTGGATGATTTGCTAGGTACTACAATGAGTTGCACTGTATTGCAGTAGAGTGCAGTATGGTGCAGTTTTACTTGTATATGAATAAGCACAACTAGTCAGTGGTTTATAAACATTCCCCACCATCCACCCTCCAAAGTCTTCCTATCTATACAATTTTCACTTGGGATTGATTGTATATTGGAAAATTTGCATAATGTAATTTTCTTACAAAGTTCGAGAAACATGCAAGTGTAGTTCCTGTTTTTAAAAAAGGTGAGAAATCAAACCCATCCAATTACAGACCAATTTCCTTGATAAGCTGTATTGGAAAGGTTTTTGAAAGAGTATGATGTTTAAATACATTTATAATCATTTAGTATCACATAAACTAGTATATAACCTACAAGCTCAACGGTGACCCAATTAATAGAAATTTATCACAATATCTGTATTGCTCTAGACAATAAAGAAGTCACGTGCTTTGCCTTTTGTGATATAAGTAAAGCATTTGACACGGTTTGGTTGAAAGGTTTAAAATACAAATTAGAAAAATATGGGTTTGTTGGAAAGGTTCTTGCATGGTTAAATGATTATCTTACAAGTCGATCACAACAGGTTAAAATAAAATCATCAAATTCTTCGGTCGGAAGAACCAAACCAGGAGTTCCCCAGGGCTTTACTTTTTCTAGTTTATATAAATGATCTGCCATGTGGACTCCATGGTCTCTCTAGACTATTTGCAGACGACATATCTGTGTCAAATACCTCCAAAAATATACAGGACATAGAAAGATTTACTAATCATGATTTAGAAAAAAATTAATGAATGGTCAAAAAAACTGGCTTGTAAAATTTAATCCTAATAAGACTAAAATATTAATGTTTGGTTGTAAAGAAAATGAGGTATCCAATTTACATTTTAAGTTTGATAATCAAGAGATTGTCCCATCTTCTACTCACTGTCATCTTGGACTTACGTTCTCAAATTCTGGTAAATGGACAAATCACATCGATAACATTATTAAAAAGACTTCAAAAGAAATTGCGGTTCTTCGTAAATTGAAATTATTATTGAATAGAGACTTTTTAACTAAAATGTATATAACATTTATTAGGCCACTTTTTGAATATGCATCAGAAGTATGGGATAATATTTCCGCAGCTGACTGTGATAGGCTGGAGAAATTACAATTAGAAGCTGCGCGTATTGTCACTGGCCTACCTATTTACGCTCCTCGTAAGTCTCTATATTATGAAACAGGATGGGAAACACTAGCCCATAGACGGGAAAAGAGAAAATTATGTTTAATGTATAAAATAAAACATGGTATCGCACCAGAGAATTTATTAAATCTATTACCTCCTGATGTCTCACAAACTACCCATTATGATTTACGCAATTTATTCTTTCCATCTACAATATCACTATGGAATGCTTTGCCTATAGAGATTAGAAACATCGATACTGTGAATGCTTCCAAAAAAAGACTCTTTAAAGGTGAACCTCCCCCCAAATATTTTTCTTATGGTGATAAAAAAAACAAACTCAACTTTAACAAGATTAAGACACAATGTAAGTATCCTTAAGTCAGATTTATTTAAAGTTAAACTTTCAGATAACACTCAGTGTTCTTGTGGATATATCAATGAAAACACTGAACACTTCTTCTTGTACTGTAAAAATTATGCCGAAATTAGAACGGAATCATTCCACACTATACAGAATAACAATGGAGCAATAGACCTTGACATTATCTTATTCGGGGACCCAGAATTGGGTCAACAAAATAATATCAATATTGTTAAAGCTGTACATAAATATATTAAAAAGTCAAAAACGTTTTACGAATAACTAGCGTAACCATTTTGTATCCCTTATACTAGTAACCCCCTTTTTATTTCTTTTCTCCTTGCACTCCCATTCCCTTCCTTTCTTATCTCTCTGCACCCCCTTTCTTCTCTCTTTTTATTATTGTATATTTGTTGCTTGTACATCACGTGTATATATTTTTGTTATTTTTGTTTGTGTTGGAGAGGACAATCTAAGTTGGCATAACCTATGTCCAATCCCATTGATTGTGTTCAATAAAATATGTTTAAATCAAATCACTAATCAGTCAGAGGATTGATCATTTCTTCAGGATGTTTTATGCATACCCGGACTAGTCCTTCGATAAAATATTATCAATGTGTAACTTTGTCAAAAAAGTCCTTCGACATAATGCTTTCGATATAATTACTGGATTTGCTAGGCACTACTATGTGTTGCACTGATTGCAGCAGAGTACAGTATTGTGCAGTTATACTTGTATTTTAGCAAGCAACTAGTTAATTCCCTTTAAAAACATTCCCCACCATCCACCCTCCAAAGTCACCCTTTATATACAATTTCAACAGGCGGTTAAAAATATGTTGCAAAATTTGCATAATGTCAGTTTCTTACAAAGTTCGATAATCAAATTATGCCTCTTTGAACAACGTAAACAAAATGATTATGCAAATGTTTAGGCAATATTAACGGATAACAAGTTGGTATACTATATAAGACTAGAGAGTCGCTCACTCATGTTGAGTTTGGTCTTACAAGTAGTGTGAGTTTCTCTCACTATACAAATACTGTTAAATGGCCAAGCATGTAGGCCTAGCTCTGAAAGCGCTCTTGATTGTTCTTCAATGGGCGCTTAATTTGTTTGAATGAGTTTCAAGATGTTCACTCGTCAGTCAGACAGGAAAGTTCCTATATATTTCAATGTTTAGGCCTAACTGAATAAAGATAGACCAGATATGTTTTTAAAAGTAGACACTATACGTCAAGCAATTACAATGAGATGCATTGCAGCACTGCACTACTTGATATGATATCTTTGTTTAAGAGCATCCAGTCTGTCCCTAACTTTTTTTAAAAAGAAAAAAATTTAAAAGGTTTTGTTTCAACGTTATCTTCAATACATAAAATCATGTAAAAGAAAACTGGACTTATGAATCTTTGATTGACATTCCATTGTAGTGCAGTGCAACATAAGCATAGTTTAATTCTATGAAGATAAGAAGCATTAATAAATTCCTTACAAATAAAAATAAAATCACTCATCAGTCAAAGAGGAGTGTTGATTTCTTCAGAATATTTTTCGCTTATCCAAACTAGTCATTCGATAAAAAAAAATATCAATACTATAGAACTTTGTCGTAAGAGTCCCCCAATATAATTAAGTGCTGGAGACTGTTAATTGAGATTTGTATGAAAGAGGACATGCAGTCATATAT